GGCGTCATCGCTGTTTGCGGTCGGTTGTTTGTTGAGGGGACAACGTGGAAACGACGAATGTGCGCGCTGGGGCAAAATCCCAATTTTTTTAACCACCACCCTTCCATCCTTGCACACTTCTACAAGTCGTTAAGGCGATTGTGCGCGGCGCTTTGGCAAGAGTCCCATGTTGAAGACCACCCCCCTTCCGTGCGTCTACCTCTTGCACGTGTTCAGTTTCAGGATCATAAGTGATGAAGAAGTCTGAGGCGGAACGCCCGGCCCGCCCTACCGACATCACCGGGGGGGAAACAAGGACGAGATATATACAGGGAAAATGGGCTGAGGAGGAGGAAGAGGAGGAGGAGAGGAGGAGGAAAAGAAGAAGAGGAGGAGGAGGAGGAGGAGGAGGGGAAGGAGGAGGAGGAGGGGGAGGAAACGGAGGAGGAGGAAGAGGAGGAGGAGGAGGAGGCGGAGGAGGAAGGGGGGGAGGAAAGAGGAGGTGCGACGCAGACATGAGCACAGCTAGTTAGCGTGCCCGATTGACTGACTGCGGCCACCTTTACCTCCAGATCTCCTAAGCGGGGTCCAAGCAGCTGGGGTCGGAAGATTGTGCCGCATCACCGATACATGGGCGATGCGGCTTGATGCAGCTCGCGGCGGGGCCAGGCGGCCCGCGTAAGCCGCGGCGTGAATGTGCTCTCGCTTCAGGCCATGTTCTCTGCCGGCCTCGATTGCCACAGGAAGGTTGGGACTTAGTGGTTCTTGGAAACGGCAGGGCAGCGTGAGAATTAAAGCGGTGAAAGGAAGCAGTTCGCCGAACGTGAAACAAACGGTTCCAGGATTGAAACTGGAGCTGGTACCAGACTCGGGGAAACGTAAGACTCGAGTAAGCGGGAACTCGGTTTTGCCGACGTTTTTTGACGAGCGCGTCCTGGATTTTGGCGGTCCAGTTTTCGTGGGATGTCTGCAGCGAGAGCCCTCGTCAAATTTCGGATTGGGTCTCGTCATTTCTATGATGGCCCCGTCGGGCCCAACCCGAGTCCCCCGTACCCGAGTCTTACGTCTCCCCGACAGACAGAAAAAAACGCCGACGGAACCAGAAAAAACACACGGCGAACCAGGGACAAAGCAGCAAAGCGAAAACGGAAAAAAGATGACCCTTCCGCATTTGGAACCATTGAGGGCTGAGAGGCGAGAGGAGGAGGAGGAGGAGGAGGATGCGGAGGCGGAGGAGGAGGAGGAGGGGGAGGAAGAGAGGGGGAGGAGGAGGAGAGAGACGAAGAAGAAGAAGAAGAAGAAGAAGAAGAGGAGGAGGAGGAGGAGGAGGAAGAGAGGAGGATCTGATCGTAACCCTTTGTGTCGCCCTCTCGGCACGACGCCTTCGGTGCGCTCGCACGGCCGAGCTGCGGCGCCAGGCTGCGGCCGCGAGCGAGCGGCACCCTCGGTGCGCTCGCGCTTGTGCGCGCGCGCGCGCGAGCGAGCGACGTCGCGCCGCTCGGCGATCCAGACGGGACCGACCTGGGCGAGCGGGGCCCAGGCGGAGGAGGCCGCGGTGGGTGCCAAGGGACCGTGGGCTCAGAAGTGGATGAGAAGTAGGGTGGTATCTGGCCGAGCCTGGCGCATGAGTGGGTTGCACATGCCCTGAGTGGCTTAAAGGAACTAGGCAACTCCGGCAAGTGGGCTCCGCCAGTTTCTCCCAGATCTGCGCCCCCCGTACGCTGCTTAGGGCACTCGCAACCCACTCTTAAGCTAGGTTCGGCCTGATACAACTGACCTCTCAGCATCCGTTTACAAACAAAAAAAAAAAAACACTCAGCAACCCCCGCGGTCATCCAAGGAAGAGGCTTTAGGGTAGAAGCACTCAGCAGATCCAGGCGTTGCTATGTTTTCCCGCTGGGCGTTGTTCGCCCGTCTTCGGCTGCAGGACCCTCATAGACCGATCTGGCTGGAAGAATGGCGTCGAAAGATCGCGTCTAGAGTTCTGGTCGCGATCTGCTGCGATGTTGCATTGTTTCCATCGTCGGATCTCAGAAGCGGCCCACCGCATGAGGCCCCCGCGCGCTTTTGTCCGGCCTTCCCGCCCCGGCAGTGGCGCCTGGATCGTGAGAAGGTTGGCCTGGGAGCTGCAGCCCTTGGCGTCGTAGCCTGCAGCCTGCACTGCCTGGCGCCTGCCCCTGTATCGAAAGTTGGCCATCGCAGGCCAGCCACAGTTGCTACCAGTCTGGTGGCTCCCCCGTACTCTGCACCTGGGAAGATGCCTGTCATACCTGCGCTGGCCGACTACGGCTCTAGGGGCGAGACGAGATTCTGGCTGGGAGGGGGGACGCTGCAAGGCACGCGCGCTGGAAGCATCCCAGCCAGAACGAGGGATGAAGAGGATCTCTTCCTCCACGTCATCTTGTCTCGTCGCTGTTCCTCTTTCCCCTCCTCCTCATCGACTCTACAGTATATATGATTATCTGTGGTTTGGTTTGGCCCCCTCCTCGCATCCGCCTCCCCCTCCTCCCCTCCATCATCAGCATCAGCATTAGCATCATCACAATCGGCATCATTTTCATTAGCATCATTGTCCAAATCATGATTATCACCCGCAGGATCATCATCAGCATCATCATTATCAGCATCAGCATCAGCAGCATCATCAGCATCATCAGCATCACCACCACAGCCACCATCAACACAAGCATCACCTCCATCTCAGCATCATCATCAGCAGCAGCATCATCAGCAGCAGCAGAATCATCATCATCACCATCACCATCACCATCACCAGCATCACCACCACCACCACCATCACCATCATCATCAGCAGCAGCAGCATCATCAGCATCATCAGCGCCATCAGCATCATCAACAATAGCAGCAGCATCCGTAGCCACTGTGGCTCATGCCTGGCTCGAAACCCCAGCTGGCTGGCGGTGCGGGCATGATGGCTGCGGGAGCCGCCACGTGCGTATGGCGATCGGGACGCTCGGCCGCCAGAAGGCAGCGGCGGGCGCGCGCGGTGGATTCGGCATGGCGCCTGGCTGGTCGCCGAGCTCGACGCCGCGCGCAACAAGACCGAGATCCTCGACGACCAGGTCGAGGCGCTGCTCGGCGAGCCTCTGGTGGGCTCGCGCCCGGCGGCTCGCGCCCCCGCCCTGCTCTGCGCTGCTGGCCGGGCGCACGCCGAGCGGCCTCGACCGCCCGCGGCGGGATGTCGCCCTGCGCGCGCTCGCGGAGGGCGTCTCGACGTCGCCGCGGCCGGGCCGGGCGAGCTCGAGCCGGCGCAGCGCAGGGCCCGCCTCGGGGCAGGCGCGGTCCTTGCGAGCGGCGCGGCGGAGCGGGTCGGCTTCGCCCAACGGCGCGGGGAGGTCGGCGGGATCGGTTGCGGCGACGGGCTTGCGCCGGGAGCGCGGCTCGGCCCGTGTGCCGAGGCGGTGGCTCTCGGGACTGGCCTGGCCGCGGGCTGGCGGCTGGCGGGGCAGACCGAGGCGTTCGCGGGGACGCTGAAGCGGCGGGAAGCCGAGGCGAGAGCCCAGTCGAACGTCGCCGGGGAGTCGGAAGAGTCGGACGATGTCGAGGTCGCGGAGATTGCGGCGGAGGTGCTGCACCAGGCCACGCATGCTGGTTCCCAGGAGACCGTCGGCATGATCGCGTCCGTCGACGGGGGTTCCGATGCCGATGCCATGCTCGAGGGGCCTGGGGGGCATCGTCGGTCCGCTTGGCGAGCACAACCGTTCGTGAGGCGACGTGCACGTCTGGATCGGGCGCCAGGCGGCCAGTTCCCAGCTGATGGGGTGCCCCCACCCCGCAGCTAAGGGCTCTGAAGGTGGCATGCGGGGCGTGGACCCGGCTGGTTCTGATGCTGCCACTGGACGCTTTCCTGTGCAGCCGTGGCTCCTGGAGTTCCCGCTACTGGCCAGCTCAGCTTTCCTAGTGGAGGTCGATCGTCAGGCGGCGGTTGCAGCCTCCTGGACGACCTTCGCGGGCGCCAGCGCGCGCCTGAAAGTGCTCCTCGGCGTGGCGGCCGAGCCTCAGTGGCGGAAGCGGTTCCTTGGGCTTGTGTGCGGCGCCGTGGTTCGTGCACTTGTCCGCGGAGATGAGGCTCGTGCGCGGCGCTGTACACGGCCACACGTCCGAGGAGCCCATCATCACATGTTAGTGTGTTGTGAGCATCGGTGGTGTGAAATGCCCTGGCGCGCATACTCTGTGCAGCTGCCTTTGGGGATTGCGAGATGCAGCGAGTGGCGCCCGAGGCGCTCAGGACCCATTCGTCCGCCAAGCGCGTCGCTTTTCATGCTCGTCTCGCCAGGCGGGCCCGAGGATCACGAATGCCTACGACGGGCGCTGCGATGTGAAGGAGTGTAGGACTCTCCGCTCGGAGCGCCCGGCGGGCCCAGGATCACGAATGCCTGCGCCGAGCCAGCAAGGGCCTTTTGGGCGCTGGCGCGCAGTTTGCCTTGGGTTTTCCTCAGGTTTCCCATGGGGAACCGAAGTCCAACGTGTGGAGAAGAGGGGCATCGTTCCTCATTTAGGTTTCCTTAGGTCAACGCCCCGACTGTATTCCGTCCAGATGTGAATATGAGCAGTATCGCCCGAGGCTGCGGCTTCGGGTATGCCACGGCGATTGGTGAGGGCCGACATGTTTGGCGTGTCCAGCCTGCGCTGCGCTAGCCTCGCTTATGCCACGGATCGTTGGCACGGTCTGCCGCTGCGCGCGAGGTGCCCAGGGGATGCGGTCGGGCGCGGCCAGCAGTGGAGGTTTCTCTCCAGACTGTCTCTGACGCACCGGATCATCATCAACACCAGCATCATCATCATCATCATCATCATCATCATCATCATCATCAACAACAGCAACAACAACATCAACATCAACATCATCATCAGGATCCTCACCATCGTCATCGCCATCACCATCATCGTGTCCCGCTTCCTCCTCCTTCCTCCTCCTCCTCCCTCCTCCTGCTCTTCTTCGCTCCGCCCTCCGCGCTTTTCCCTCCTCTCCGGCCTGGTTGGGGCCCTCCCCCTCCCCAGGTCGTCCCCGGCGCCGCGCTCGGCTCCCGCAAGAAGCTGCGCATGAACGAGCCCCTGATCGGCCCCAACGCGCAGCACTACTGCAAGGACCGCCGCCGGAAGAGGAGATTTCGAGGAGGAAGGCGGAGGAGCAGGAGGAGGAGGAGGAGGAGGAGGAGGAGGAGGAGTTGCAGGGAAAAGGGGGAAAAGGAAAGGTTGGGAGGGGGAGGGGGGCAAGGCCAAAGAGATAGGGAGGACGAGGAGGCAGATGAGGGAGAGCATGAGGAGGAGGAGGAGGAGGAGGAGGAGGAGCGGAGAAGACGAAGAACGGACGGGGGAGGGAAGAGGAGGAGAGGCAGGCGACGTGGACTGGAAGAGTCGCGCAACGTGGGCCCCGGAGCTCTCGACCTCATCCCCACAACAGTTCTTCGCCCCTGGTCGCTGTTCGTCGGTCCCCGAAGAAGTGGCCTCCAGATCTTTCTGGAGCCCTAATTCTCCGTTGCCCGTCATTGCCACGGTAGGCCAATACCCGACCGTCGGAAGCTGATAGGTCAGAAACTTGAATGATTCATCGCCAGCGAAGCTATGCGATTCGTTCGGTTATTATGGATCACCAAAGGACCAGGCGGAGCCTGGGCTGGTTCTGTAACTAACAAAGACCGGCCGTCACGGTATCTTCGGTCGGTGAGAGATTTGGATCGACACATCCATGGTCACCCCGCAAGAAAATCCAGTCTCATCCCCGACTCCACACCAAATCAGCTGTTCGAGTCGTGGCCACGAATGGCCGTCCCCGAAGCCCAAGGGAAACAAGACGCCTCAAATTTGGAGCTGCCTGGGGAGCCCTCTTACCGACTGCGCGACTCATTGACCAAACAATGTTTTGAACTAGGCAGCCTTGAAAATGGGCATATCACAGTTACGCCGATCTTAAGAAACATCTGTTCGCTTGCTTGCTTGGCCCTGGGTTTCTTCGGCACCTTCCCGCTGGTCTAGGTTTTTTCGGCGAGTCGTTTCTGAATCATCCCTCAGATCCGACATTGCAAACAAAATGTAAGATCGCGAAGAATCACGACCTGAGCCCTAGACCCTATCTTTCTGCTGCATGTTCGAGCCAGGTCAATCCCTGAGGATCCCGGGGCCCGAAACAAGGCAAATTCGCCCGTAATTCGAAAAATGCAACGCAGGGGTGATCATCGCCTGGGCTGTCAGGGCTCTAGATGCCCCAGGGAGGCGCACCTTGCTTTACAGTCGAGCATCTGACTAAGAAACCTCCTCCCGAAAAGCTGCGCCAGCGTTCCTTGGTCGATTTGCCGGAAAGCGGGCCCAGTTTCTTGAGCACGTGCGTCCAATATCGCTAAAGCGAACAATTGGTCCATATCTGTTTGGATAAATTTCTGGGAAGCTGGCCCAGGTGTCTTGAATGATATGTTTCTTGATCCTATTTACAGCTGTACACCCTTCATAGATTCATGAAAAAAGGCAGGGTATCCGATCAGAGCTTAAGCTTGCTTCTCAAAAATGAGAAAATCCGGAATCGGGGTAGAATACGGAGGACGACTCCGACGACAAACATGTGTTATGGTTTATGCATGCCCCAAACAGTGTCTGCATTTGGGGGGAGGTTATCTGTTGTCTGAGGATATGTGCCTGTGCGTCGGACTGGCGGCCATATTGTCGCCGTCGCCACCACGTCGCCGCCTCGTCGCCGCCCATCGTCTGGGCCTGTGCGTCGGTCTGGCGGCTATGTTGTCGCCGTCCTCGCCTCGTTGCCGCCCATCGTCTGAGCCTGTGCGTCGGTCTGGCGAATATGTTGTCGCCGTCGCCGCTGTTGCCGCTCGTCGTCGCCATTCGCTTGCACCACATTGATTGCACAACATACATTGTACCACATATATATATATATATATTTACATACATACATACATTGCAGCACATACATTGCGCCACGTAAATGGCACCACAACGATTGCATCTATTGCGCAACACAGCTTGCACAACATAGGTTGCGCCACATAGAGTGCACCTCATAGGTTGCCCCACATAGATTCTCCTTTCGCAAAAGAGAATAGACCGCTACCCCCCCGGCCCGACTTACGCTTCCCCCTGGGATAAGTATTTATATATATTGATATATATACATAATATATATATATATATATATTATATATATATATAAAAAAAAAAAATTCTGCACACCCGTCCATCCTAAATATGAAATCGTATCATCCCAGCTAGGCCAGGTCCCCCCCCTGAGGTTCCCTTGCCAAAAAAAAAGAATTATGCGGCGACATCTTGTGCTCTAACAGAAGACTTTTTCGCGAATCTCCTGCAAAAAATGAAACCAAGTGCACACGCGCGCGTCGTCGCGCGCGCATGCCGAAATCCTTCAAAAACCGTCGGTGCCGGAGGATTTCGCAATCGAGCTTCCAAAGAACGAACAAAAACACAGGGTTTCGCAACACTGATTTGCTAAAAAAGCTTCCGCGCGAGCTCTTGCGAAATCTTAAGAAAACCGTTGGTTTTTCAAGATTTTCACAAAATGCTACCAAACGGGCGTCGCGCGCGCGCATGTCGAAATCTGTCGAACGCCCTTGCGCGTGTGCCGTCGCGAGAACCCTCTGCAAAAAATGGGACAAAGTGCAGACGCGCGCGTCGTCGCGCGCGCACGCCGAAATCCTTCAAAACCCATCGGTTTCGGAAGGATTTCGAAATCGCGCGTCCAAAAAATCTACAAAAACCCAAGCTTTCGCCGCACGGATTTTCAACAAAAGCGTGCGCGCGCGCGCTCTTGCGTCGTCGTCGTCGTCGTCGCCGTCCTCCTTCCGCCCTCGTCGTCGTCGTCGTCGCCTACGTAGTCCTCTGTCTTTTCTCGTGTTCGTCGTCGTCGTCCTGTTTGGCGTCGTGGTCGTTTCCGTCGTCGTTGTCGCCGTGGTCGTCCTTCCTCCTCCTCCCACGTCGTCGTCGTCGTCCGTCGTCGGCGTCTCGTCGTCGTCCCTCCTATTTCGTCGCCGTCGTCGTCGTCGTTGTCGTTGTCGTCGTCTTCCCTCCTCCCTCGTCGATGCCGTCGTCGGCGTCGCCGTCCTTCCTCCTTCTTCGTCGTTCGCGTCGTCGCCGTCCTCCCTCCTCCCTCGTCGTTGTCGTCGTTGTCACCGTCGTCGTCCTCGCTCCTTCCTCGTTGTCTTCGTTGGCGACGTCGTCGTCGTCTTCATCGTCGTCGTCCGCGTCGGCGTCGTTGTCGTTTTCGTCGTCGTCATCGTCGTCGTCTTCGTCGTCACCGTCGTCGTCGTCGTCGTTGACGTCGTCGTCGTCGTCGGCGTCGGCGTCGTCGTCGTCGGCGTCGTCGTCGTCATCGTCGTTGTCGTTGTCATCGTCGTCGGCGTCGGCGTCGTCGTCGTCGTCGTCGGTGTCGTCGTCGTCGTCGTTGTCGGCGTCGTCGAAGTCGTTGGAGACGTCGTCGGTGTCGTCGTAGTCGTTGTCGGCGGCGTCGTCGCTGTCGCTGTCGTCGTCGGCGTCGCTGTTGTTGCCAAGTGCCATGTGGTACCCACCGTCACGGTCTTAAGAGATTTTGCAAACCAAGTTGCGGGTGGGTGGGTGGGATGTTTGCGCGAGCAGTGGAGTGAACAACTCACTGCGAACAGAAATTAATTGCACCACCTAGATTACACCAGATATATAGCATCACATATACTGCATTGCATATATCGCACATCATAGATCGCACGACATAGATTGCACAATATAGGTTCTCCTTTCTAAAAGGAGAATAGACTCTACCACCCCCCGGCGTTGTCCGTTCCCTTTTCGGGTGTGTAAATGATATGTGATTATGACCACATGTCCATCCGAAATATGAATTCACACTATCCCAGGAGGGCCGGTATCCCCCCTGAGGTTCCCTTCCAAAAAAAGAATTATGCGGCGACATCTTTTGCTCTAACAGAAGACTTTTTCGCGAGTCTCCTGCAAAAAATGAAACACAGTGCACACGCGCGCGTCGTCGCGCGCGCATGCCGAAATCCTTCAAAAACCGTCGGTGCCGGAAGGATTTCGCAATCGAGCTTCCAAAGAACAAACAAAAACACAGGGTTTCGCAACACTGATTTGCTAAAAAAGTTTCCGCGCGAGCTCTTGCGAAATCTTAAGAAAACCGTTGGTTTTTCAAGATTTTCACAAAATGCTACCAAACGGGCGTCGCGCGCGCATGTCGAAATCTGTCGAACGCCCTTGCGCGTGTGCCGTCGCGAGAACCCTCTGCAAAAAATGGGACGAAGTGCAGACGCGCGCGTCGTCGCGCGCGTATGCCGAAATCCTTCAAAACCCATCGGTTTCGGAAGGATTTCAAAATCGTGCGCACAAACAAACTACAAAAACATAGGGTTTCGCAACACGGATTTCAACAAAAGCGTGCGCGCGCGCTCTTGCGTCGTCGTCGTCGTCGCCGTCCTCCCTCCGCCCGCGTCGTCGTCGTCGTTGTCGCCTACGTCGTCCTCTGTCTTTCCTCGTGTTCGTCGTCGTCGTCCTGTTTGGCGTCGTGGTCGTTTCCGTCGTCGTTGTCGCCGTGGTCGTCCTTCCTCCTCCTCCCTCGTCGTCGTCGTCGTCCGTCGTCGGCGTCTCGTCGTCGTCCCTCCTATTTCGTCGTCGTCGTCATCGTTGTCGCCGTCGTCTTCCCTCCTCCCTCGTCGTTGTCCGTCGTCGTCGGCCTCCGCCGTCCTTTCCTCCCTTCTTCGTCGTTCGCGTCGTCGCCGTCCTCCCTCCTCCCTCGTCGTTGTCGTCGTTTGTCGTCGTTGTCGCGTCGTCGTCCTCCCTCCTCCCTCGTCGTCGTCTTCGTTGGCGACGTCGTTCGTCTTTCGTCGTCGTCGCGTCGGCGTCCGTCGTCGTCTTCGTCGTCGTCGTCGGCGTCGTGACGGCGTCATCTTCGTCGTCGGTGTCGTCGTTGTCGTCGTCGTCGCGTCGTCATCGTCGTCGTCGGCGTCGTCATCGTCGTCGTCGTTGTCATCGTCGTCGTCGTCGGCGTCGGTGTCGTCGTCGTGGTCGGTGTCGTCGTCGTCGTCGTCGTTGTCGGCGTCGTCGAAGTCGTTGGAGACGTCGTCGGTGTCGTCGTAGTCGTTGTCGGCGGTGTCGTCACCGTCGTTGTCGCTGTCGTCGTCGGCGTCGCTGTTCCTTGCTGCCCGCCATTTGGTACCCACCGTCACGGTCTTAAGAGATTTTGCAAACAGTTGCGGTGTGTGGGTGTGATGTTTCAAGAGCGTCGGATGTGTAAACTCATGGGTAAACATCAACTGCACAGCATAGATCGCACCACATATGTTGCGCTTCGTAGAGTACACCACGTAGATTTCTCCACACTGACCCGCATTGATGGCACAGCATAGATTGCTAGAAACACACTGTTTGGGGCCCACGCTGGCTAACACGTTTCTACTAAAACCTTTGCCATCGATTTTCCCGACCAGATTCACTAGTTCAGAACACAAGCCTTGACCCAATGTGGGCGATGGGTGGAAATGTGCAGAGACATGCTTGATGGGCTGCTTCGGCTGCCAGGGGATAGCGAATTGACGGGGTCCTGTAGCTTCGGAGAGGATTTGTAGCGCCTAACGGGGGTACCTGTAGTCCGAGGGGGGGTACCTGTCGTCCGGGGAGGGGTACCTGTAGTCCGGGGGGGGTACCTGCAATCGGGGGGGGGGTACCTGTAGTCCGGGGGGGTGTACGGAAGGGGTACTTGTAGTCCGGGGGGTACCAGTAGTCCGGGGACGCAGGACTAGTGAGGGACACAGAGTAAAAACCCCTTTTCTCACGGCCACTCGCAAAAACCGCCCGCCCCCTTTTGCAGCGACCGCGGTCGTCCGAGCAGGCCGCGCTGGACTCCAGCTGGATCGGGGTCGAGGGCCCCTACGTGCGGCGGCTCGAGCGGCAGCTGGCCGAGATCTGCGGCTGCTCCTCGGCGTGCGCGGTGCAGAGCGGCACGGCGGCGCTGTACGGGGCCATCAAGGCGCTGGGCGTTGCGGGCTCAGCGGGGCGGCCTCCACCTCGGGGGACGAGGGAGGAGGAGGAGGAGGAGGAGGGGGTAGAGGTAGGATGAGGAGGAGGAGGAGGAGGAGAGGAGAGGAAGGGATGAGGGGGAGGAGTGGGAGGGGGGAGAGGTGGGAGGAGAGGAGGAGGAGAGGAGGATGAGGGGAGGAGGAGGAGGAGAGGAGGAGGAGGAGAGGAGGGGGAGGAGGAGGAGGAGGAGGAGGAGGAGGAGGAGGAGGAGGAGGAGCACCAGTGTGAACTCAACACGCATCAGCGATGTTGCAGCAGACGCTCTCCCCAAGTTCCCTGTTCGCAGGCCCCTACAAGAATGTATCTTCATTGCGGGGAGTGGCCCATTAGAAGAGAAACGTCTGAGAGTCCTCAGCTGTGACAAAACACCACCCGTGAGATTTCATCACTGCGAATCAACGCAAGTGTTGCGTCCTGACAACCCTCAATCGTGCCAGAACACCACTCTTGGGATTTCACCCATGCGAATATTTGAAAATGCTGCAAACGTTTAACACGAATGCGCGCGGCGCTACGGCGACAGACACAAATTGAAAAGGAACAGCCCTCCACTCATGAAGATGTTACAATGTATTCCAGCGCATGCGCGTGGAGCTAAGTCGATAGCCACAGTTTTGAGAACGGCGTGCCGTCCATCTTTGAAACTGTTGCAAAAGCGTTCAAAGACGAATGTGCGCGGCGCGAAGGCACAAGCCACAGTTTAAACACGGGCCCGCCCTCCATATGTTCAGAACTGCTACACATGTTTGAGACGGATGTGCGCGCCGCCCCTGCGAGAGCCACACTGTGAAAGGGAGTTGCCCTTCATCCGCGAAGCAAGTGCAAACGTTTTGAGACGAACATGCGCGGCGCTACGGCGAGAGCCACACCTTGAAAACGGAAAGAGCGCGTTCTGTGGTCGCTTGGAGGGGGGAAGGGTTTGGAACCGGACCCACCCACCCGTCTCGTGACGAACGGGGGGGGGGATCGAACCCCGCCCCCCCTGCTTCCCCTCTCCTCGGGCCGGCGGTGCGCTTGGGTCGGCGGCGGCTGGCGACGGCGGCGGGGACGACGATTTCCATTTCTCGGCTGGCGCCGGCGCCTGCGGCGGCGGGCGGCGGTGGCGGGGAGCGTCGACGAGGACGACGGTGGTGGTGGCGCTGGTGGGTTGTGGTGGTGGTGGTGGCGGTGGTGGTGGTTGTAGTGGTGGTGGTGTGGTGGTTTGTTGTGGTGGTGGTGGTTGTGGCGGTGGGTGGCGGTGGTGGTTTGGTGGCGGTTTGGTGGTGGTTTGTGGTGGTGGTGGTGGTGGTGGTGGTGGTGGTGGTGGTGGGTCGTGGTGGTGGCGGTTTCGTGGTAGTGTGGTGGTGGTTTGTGGTGGTGGTGGTGGTGGGCTGTGGTTGTGGCGGTGGTTTGTGGTGGTGGCGGTGGGTTGTGGTTGTGGCGGTGGTTTGTGGGGGTGGTGCTTGTGGTGGTGGTGGTGGCGGTAGTGGTGGTAGTGGTGTGGTGGTTTGTTGTGGTGGTGGTGGGTTGTGCTGCTGGTAGTGGTGGTGGTTGTGGCGGTGGTGGTGGTGGTGTGGTAGATTGTGGTGGTGGTGGTAGTGGTGGTGGGTTTTTGTGGTGGTGGTGGTGATTGTAGTGGTGTGTGGTGGTGGTGTTGTGGTGGTGGTGTGGTGGTTTGCGGTGTATGGTGGTTTTGGGGTTGTGGTGGTGGCGGTGGTTTGTGCTCGTTTGTTGTGGTGGTGGTGGTTGTTGTGGTGGTGGTGGTGTGGTGGTTTGTGGTGGTTGCGGAGGGTTGTGCTGCTGGTAGTGGTGGTGGTTGTGGTGGTGGTGGTGTGGTAGATTGTGGTGATGGTAGTGGTGGTGGGTTTTTGTGGTGGTGGTGGTGGTGGTGATCGTGAGTTGCGGTGGTGGTTGTGGTGGTGGTAGTGGCTGTGGTGGTGGTGGTGGTTGTGTGGTGCTGTTGGTGGTGGTGGTGGTTCTGGTGGGTTGAGGCGGTGGTGGTGGTGGTGGTGGTAGTGGTGGTGGTGGTAGTGGTGGTAATCGTCGCTGCGCCCCCGCCTTCGCCGGCGCCAGCGCGGGCGCTGCTGGCCGCCGCCAGCGCCGGCGCCGAGGGGGGGGGTTGAAACCCCCCTCCCCTTTGGGAGGGGGCGGGGGGGTTTGAACCCCCCACCCCTTGGGCTGCCTTTGGTCATCGTCGCTGCGTCCCCGCCGTGGGTGCTGCTGGCGGCCGCCAGCGCCGGCGCCGGCGCCGAGAAGGGGGGGGTTTGACCCCCCCCCCTTGGGAGGGGGGGGGGAGGGGTTCGGGAGGGGGGGTTGGGGGGGAGCTGGTTTTGATCGACGGCGCCGAGTGTTGTGGGGGGGCCCACCTCCCCGGTTTGAAATGCGCCGCCGAATTTTCCCCGAGGCAAGCGCCCGTGAAACGCGTTCTCTCTGATAACGGCGTGTCCTCTATCTTCGAAGTTGCTGCGAACTGTTAAAACGAATGTGCGCGGAGCTACTGCAAAAAAATACAATTTTGAGCACGGCCGGTCTTCCATCTTCGAAGGTTTTGCCAAATGTCCCAACCATATTGTGGTGTTGGGTCTTCGTTTTGAAGAGAGGGCACCTCGCGTTCCTCCTACTCCTCTCCTCCTTCTGCCCCCTCCTACCTCCTTACATCCCTGCCTCTGCCCTCCGCATAAGTCAACGATGTCGGTACACCTATCATGTTTCGTGGCCCCATAGCGAGCTCCACCGATGGCCTCAGCGCTTGTTTTTGCGTGCGTCCACCGCACCCCTTTCGGCCCACGCCTCACACGCTTCGTGGCCCCATAAGGAGCTCCACCGGGGGCTCCACTGGCTGCGCTTGCATGCACCCACCTCACCGAGCACACGTTTCGTGGTCCCACAGGGAGCTCCACCGAGGGCTCCAGCGGTTGCGTTCGCATGCGCCCACCGCATCCATGTCAGCACACTCCACACGCTTCGTGGCCCCATAGGGAGGTCCACCGAAGGCCGAAGTGGTTGCGTCCGTATGCGCCCACCGCACCCATGTCGGCACACCCCATCACATGTTCCGTGACCCCACAGGGAGTTTCACCAAAGGCCCCGGTGGCACATCCCATCACGCGCTTCGTGGTCCCATCTGGAGCTCCACCGAGGGCTCCACTGGCTGCGTTCGCATGCGCACACCGCACCCATGTCGGCATACCCCACACACGCTTCGTGGCCCCATCGGGAGCCCAACCGAAGGCCCCAGCGGCTGCGCTCGAATGCGCCCACCGCACCCATTTCGGCACACCCCATCACACGCTTCGTGGCCCCATCGGGAGCTCCACCGAAGGCCCCAGCGGTTGTGTTCCCATGCGTCCACCGCACCCCTATCGGCACATTTTTCACACGTTGCGTGGACCATAGGAAGCTCCACCGAAGGCCCCAGCGGTTGCGTTCGCATGCGTCCACCGCACCGCACCCCGATTGGCACATCCTTGACACTTCGAGTGGCCCATAGGGAGCTCCACCGAAAGCCCGGGTAATTGCGCTCACATGCACCCACCGCGCCCACCGTTTCGTGGCCAAACAGGGAATTCAACAGAGGGCTCCAGCGGTTGCGCTCGCATGCGCCCCCCACCCCGGCATATTTCGGCGCACCCCTCCTCACACGCCTCGTGGTGCCATAGAGGGCGCCACCGAAGGCCCCAGTGGCTGCGCTTGCATGCGTCCGCCCCAGTCACGTTGGCACACCCCGCACACGCTTCGTGGTCCCATAGGGAGCGCCACCACAGGCCCCGATGGCGGTGTTCGCACGCGCTCACGCCGCCCATGTCAGTACACCCCGCACAGTATTCGCTTTCCCATGGGGAGCTCCACCGACGGCCCCAGTGGCAACGTTTCGCATGCGTCCGCCGCACTCATGCCGGCGCACCTCGCACACGCTTCGTGGCCCCATAGGGAGTTCCACCGAAGGCCCCAGCGGTTGTGCTCGAATGCGCCCACCGCACCCATTTCGGCACACCCCATCACACGCTTCTTGGCCCCATCGGGAGCTCCACCGAAGGCCCCAGCGGTTGTGTTCGCATGCGCCCACCGCACCCATTTCGGCACACCCCTTCACGGGCTTCGTGGCCCCATATGGGCGCTCCACCGAAAGCCCCAATGGCTGCGCTCGCATGCGCCCACCGCACCGAGCACACGCTTCGTGGCCCAAGAGGGAGCTCAACCGAAGACCGAAGGCCCCAGCGGCTGCGCTCGAATGCGCCCACCGCACCCATTTCGGCACACCCCATCACACGCTTCGTGGCCCCATCGGGAGGTCCACCGAAGGCCCCAGCGGTTGTGTTCGCATGCGCCCACCGCACCCATTTTGGCACACCCCATCACACGCTTCGTGGCCCCATAGGGAGCTCCACCGAAGGCCTCAGTGGCTGCGTTCGCACGCGCACACTTCACCCATGCCAGCCCACGCCTCACAGCTTCGTGGCCCCATAGGGAACTTCACCGAAGGCTCCAGTGGTTGCGTTCACATGCGCTCACCCACGCCCATTTCGGTACATTCCTCAATCGTTTCGTGGCCCCATCTGGGAAGCTCCACCAAAGACGATGTTCACAACTGCGACAATCACAACTGCATGTGTTTGGGTCCTTCGCAAGGCGAGTTTAAGACGGATGTGCGCGGCGCTGACGCGAGAGCCACATTTTGAAAATCACCCGCCCTCCATCCGTGGGGCTGCTGCAACTTACAAGCTTCAGGATCATAAGTGGCGAGGGAGTCTCAGGCGAAACGCCCAGCCCGCCCTTTGGACACGTGTGGGGGTGCGACAGAGAGAAGTTACCCATGAGGAAAATGAATGAATGGAAGAGGAGGAGGAGGAGGAGGAGGAGGTCACGCTTGCTAGCAGCCGAGTCTCTAACGTTTTGTTCGCCTCGCGCCGAGGCCCTACTGGCCCCTGGCTTCACTGGCGCTCCGCACTGGCCGGGCCAAGCTCGAAGTTCTCTTCGCCTCGCGCCTGGGCCCGTCTGGCCCGTGGCGGTAACAAGGCTTCGCCGGCGCTCCGCGCCGGCCAGGCTAAGCAGCCAGGACAGAGGCTCCCTACCTCTTCTCCTTAGATAGGAGAATGATGATGAAGAAGATGACGATGGTGATGGTGATGGTGATGGTGATGGTGATGGTGATGATGATGATGATGATGATGATGATGATGATGATGTTGATGATGATGATGGTGATGGTGATGGTGATGGTGATATGATGGTGATGATGATGATGGTGATGATGGTGATGGTGGTGATGATGGTGATGATGGTGATGATGATGATGAGGAGGAGGAGGAGGAGGATGATGCTGATGCTGATGATGGTGATGGTGATGGTGATGGTGATGGTGATGGTGATGGTGATGGTGATGGTGATGGTGATGGTGATGGTGATGGTGATGGTGATGATACTGATAATGATCATGATAGTGAAAATGAGGAGGAGGAGCACCAGAAGGAGGAGGAAGGCCAAGTGCTGGGCCTTTGGGGTATTGGTTGGCTCTGGAAGCCTCTGGGGGCCTCCGGAGGCTCCCGGGGACTTCCGGGGACCTCCAGAGGCTTCCAAAGTTCTCCAGAGGTCCTTGTCGTGGGGCGTCGCGTAATGACGGGGGCGATACATGGTTGGGCAGCGAGGGTTGCAGAAAAGGGGGAATTCTGAAGGCCCCTACAGGGGCCCCTGAAGGGCCATAAAGCGGGCCAGGGTCCCAAAGGTACACCTACAGTTTTCCGGCGTATTTGCTTTCACGATGTGAGGGGGGTCTGAAGTCGGGGGTCGAAAGGCGGCCTGCAGACCTGTCCAGGGGTGCGCTTTGGCCAAAATTTCGCGGCAAATCCAGCCGTGGCGACGAGAAGTCTCCACGAGGCCCAGGAAGGGTCCTAAACGCCCAAGAGCCTCGATCCGTCCCACCCCTAGCTGCCCTGATAAGTTCGATTTGGAATGCGAAGCGTACCGCGTCCAAAACGTCCGTGATAACACGCTCCGTGTTGGTTAGGCGCGTATTGGCCCACGTTTTAGCGAACGTATCGTGCCACACCTGCTTATGCAGTCTCCGTGCTGAGCTCCGTGTCGACACGCTACGGGCTGCGTGCTGCGCATCGGGGCGGCTTAGCTCAAGAGCCTTGATCCTTTTCCAGGATAGGAAGATCCCTGGTGGGATAGGAGGAGGAAAAGGAGGAGGAAGAGGAGGAGGAAGAGAGAGGAGAGAGGAGAGAGGACAGGGGGGGAGGAGGAATAGGGGGGAGGAGGAATAGGGAGGAATAGGGAGGAGGAGGAGGAGAACTCAGGCCCCCCCCCCGCGCCCCGCTCGGTCTGGGAGCGGCGGCACGAAGGTCTCCGATCCCTCGCACCACGTGCTGGTGCCGGCGTTCACCTGCGCGGCGTGCGCCGACGCTGTGGTGCACGCGGGCGGGCGCCCCGTGCCGATCGACTGCGAGATGGACCCCCGGGGGCCGTGCGAGGCCGCCCAGATGGGGGCCGATCTGGGGCGGCCTCGACGGGCTCTTGCAGTCCGACGAAGGGCCAAAATCGCCTTTTCCATAAAAGACCCGGATCACATGGAGGAGGAGGAGGAGGAGGAGGAGGAGGAGGAGGAGGAGGAGGAGGAGGAGGAGCAGCCGCTGGGATCAGCGGGCGGGTGCGTCTGGCGCCCCGTCCCGATCGACTGCGAGATGGACCCCCTGGGCGGTTCGAGGCCGCCCAAAGGGCCGATCTGGGGCGGCCTTGAACGGGTCTTGCAATCCGACGAAGCTTGGCATCGCTCGGGCACGAGGGCCATCGAGGAGCATCTTGGCTCATCTTGCGAGAAAGAAGAAGCACGCACGGAATCGCAAAAAGTGAACTGGGAATGGACGTCCGTGCGATGGCAAGCGAAGGGCCAGTCGCATTAAAAAAAATGGTCACATGCAGCCGCGGGGATCAGGGGTGGGCGCATCGGGCGCGAATACAGCCCAAGTGTAGCAACACTCGTTGGAACAGGAGTGGAAGCACGAGAAGTCTCCACCAACTGGGGTCGAAGTACGGTCAGCAACGTCAGCTGAGCCTGTCGCGCCGCCGGTTCGGGCGCACCGCGCTTCGGCGCGACAGGCTAGCCGCATCACCATGCCCAGGCGTCAGTGTCCCGAGCTCTTCCCAGCCTCCCGCCGCGCGAACTGGAGCGACAGGCCATCAGCTCCCAAGGCATAGCGCTCGAGCAGGGGATCGGCGACGGACTTGATTTACACCAAATGTGTTTCTCTCGTCGAACCCACGAGAAAATACGTAGAACAGTCCGTAGAACTACGGAGCATTCTACGTGTGTGTGTGTGTCGTAGATTCGACGGGAAATCAATTTTGGCATAAATCGATTCCGTAGTCGATCACCCTTTCGAAGCGTGTCGCTGGGGTCGCCGACGCGACACGCTTGGCAGTAGATCCTGACCGAGGAGATGGGGTCGGCGGATCGTGCCGCAGCGGCGATACACCGTCCACCTCGCGCTGGATGCATCAGCGATGCATGCGGCGCCAACCCCGACCTCCGGCCCCAACGCGGACCCCAGTCGGGCGGCCTCGGCTGTGGAGCTGGCTATAAACACAGACCCCAGACCCCCTCGGGTCGGGAAAGATCATGACGGCATATGTGGGGCTTGCCTTCGGGGATAAGAGGAGCTGTTCTCTCCTCCTCGGCGGGAGGCGGCGGAAGGTCGACGGAAGGCGGCGGAAGGCCAACGAGGCCGCCTCCGCTGGCCGAAGCTCGGCGGAAGCTGGCGGAAGCAAAAGTCGGCCTCCCAAGAGATGACATCATTTTTGGGTTCGGGGTCTCCGGAATCGGCCATTCGTTTGCGTTTTGCGCCCTCGGAGGGCCCTTACCACGCCCCTGGGCCCCCCGGGAAGCCTCGGCGGCTCAAGGACGCTTCTCGCACAGGCGAGCGCGGGGTCGCAAGTCCCCACCGGGCGGGCTTGTACCACTCTACTCCCGCCATGGCGATGTCGCCCTGGGCGTGAAGGAGCTGGAGAGGGGGAGCTCACCGCTGGCGCCTGCGAGGCGAGCGCTGCTCGGCTGCCCGACCGAGCTGGACCGCAACCCTCCGTCCAACCAAGTGGACTGGCTGCGGGAGCCAGGGCTAATGGGCGGCAAAAGGGCCTGGAGGCGCGCGGCGCGGCTGGTTGTAGTGGCAGGGAGCTGCTAGTATCGAGGCCAGCTTCTCACACGTCCCATGGTTGCCCACGCCGCTCAGTGCAATAGGCCGCATCATCACCGAGCAGCTGAGCTTACCCCTCCACCAGCACGGCCTCAACGAACACAAGTTTCGTCTCATCCTCATGTGGTGAAAACTTGGAGCTACAGCACCGAGTCTTTGATTTCCATAGATCGCATGGGTGAGCTCTTGCGGGTTGCCGAGGACAACCAGATCGCCATTGTCTGCTTTCAGAGTACGCTCATGAGCGGTACTACCCCATGGAACAGTGCTGGCTTCAGAATATATCTTACCCCACGGACATCCACACGAGCAAAGGATGGATGTTTGACCGCTCCCAATCTCTACCGTTTCAACCCGCTTGAGGTCCGCTGCGTACATGAATGGTTCCCTGGACGACTTCTTGGGCTCCGAGCCCGCAGAGACGGACGCCACGAGCGCGGCCTCTACATCCCGAACGGCTACGTTCCGACCAACACCCCTCCCTATCAACCAGCTGGCGCCGACCCCGACCGTCAACTCCAGGAACACCGACTAGCACAAGACACGTTTTGGCACACATGTGAATCTACGCTTCGTCGAGTCCCTCAGCGCACTACCCTCATCCGGTGCTTCGACGCCAACGGTTCGATTGCACCAGAACTTCCACATGTTTGGTTCGCTGGAGTTGACCGCCATCCAAAAGTGACTAACCACAACGGCGGCCAGTAACCCACCATCCTGCAGAATCTGAATTTGACAGCTCTGAACACGCATGGCAGCAAACGCACACATGCAGGTACTTGGTTGCACTCAGACGGCAGCACCTGGAACCATATTGATTTCATATGCACACGTCTGCAGGGAGGCATTGGACTTGGCGCTAAAGTTATCCAATCCCTCCCTGTCAGTCTTGGAGGCTACCGTGGCCACCGCCCGAACAAAGCTCGGATTCCAGTCAAGTTTCGATGTCGAAGCACTCCTGCCCCACAGCCGCTCCGTTGGAACAGAGACCTGTTGTTGCGAGACCTGCAGACTGCCCTTCACCCCGAAGAACTTCCAGAACGCGTCCGAGACTTTCGCAGCCGTCTGTGCATGGAGCTACGGGATCGCAAACTCCACTGCGATTGGAAGCAAGAATGTAGCCCCGAGCTTCCTTACACCACCCCGTCCGCCTACTATAACGCCTTGGAGGGCGCGGTTGCGGACGCAGCGTATCCGATTTACGTTGGGAATCCCAAAGCTTCGCCGAAGCAGGACCTGGCTAACAACACTCTTCAACCGATTCGCCGAAAACCGTACTTCCAGCGAATGCGTTCGAATGCGTTTGGTCACCAATCGTGGCTGTACAAATCTGTCATATCCGAGTTTCGCCGCGCAGCCAGGCAGGCGAAGCAAGCTGTCCGATCTGAGAAGCGTCAGCACATTGCGTCATTAGTCGCAGATGCTGAGCGTGCTGCCGCAGTTCACGATATCCGTAGATGCTACTCCATCGTCAAGAGGCTCGCGCCAAAGCCCCGTATGCCGATGCTGACGGTCCGCAACCCCGCAACGGGCGCCCCGTGCTTTGATGACTCAGAGGACCAGCCGGTTCGGACAGATGCTTTGCGTTCCATCTTCGGGGCGACAGAGTTGCCCATGGATGCGGACGGAGGCCCCCAAGAGATCAACGAAGCCCCCAATGGGGACCTCAAGGGCCAGTATGACGTCACCGACGCGGCTAGGGCCCTCGTCAAGCTCCCCAACTACAATTAGCGCCCCTGTCCTCAAGTGGACCGACCCCGTCACGTCCGAAGCCCCCCGCCAGGACCTCGAAGGAGCTGTCGCAGAACTATGGAGGCTCAGCGCGGACATCGTAGGACACCTTCTTCTTGGAGTCTTTAAGGCTGCCCAAGCTTACCAACGAGTTCCCCGGAGGTTCAAAGATGGCGAAGCGGTCTCTCTGAGGAAGCCCAAGGGCGACGGGATGAACGCCAAGGACCATTACAGAACAATCAATCTCATCGGCCACGTGGGCGAGGCATTCACGAACGTTCCAATTTTGCCAGAGTTGCGCTCGATGCCGGGCGTGCTTTCTGTCGCGCAGTTCGGCGCAATTCAGGGTCGATCCACGAAAGACGACATTGCTTTAGTTGATGAAGTCGGCAGACGCTTTCGCTCTAACCCGCACCGAGCCCAGTCACCGCACACTATCCTCGTGTCTGCACTGACTGACGCAGAGAAGGCTTGCGACTCACTAGATCGGAGTCAAGTGTGGATCGCCCTCGAGCAGCTCGCGCTTTTCCGCCAGACCCGCCTGGTGACTGAGGAACTCTACAACGGCACATGCCACGTACTTCGCGACGCTCGTACCAATCGCCCCTGTCGCCAACTACTCATCCGCAACGGCATTAGACAAGGCAGCGCTGAAGGTCCAGGATTGTTTATAGCTATCTGTGGCGCGATTACCCAGGAGCTCGGAAGCCAGACCAGATCCGCGGGGCACCAGGGCATTCAGGTTCAGTACGACCTCCACTTCCAGGTATTTAGGAACTCGGCCAACTTCACGGATATCGAGTTAAAGGATCTAGACACGTCCCAGATCAAATTCCTAGATGTCTTAATCGCGCTGGCGGTTGTCGACAACCTAGATGCTGTCACCTCGTTCCTAGACTTCCTGAGGGCTCACGTTCATGCCAGCGGCTTGACCATGAACGCCCCGAAAACTGAAGTGACGTTGAGAGTCGCGGGGAAGGGGCGCCGGAAAATCCGACAGACTAGCGAAACAGCTGAATGGCATCAGCATGACCCACGCAGACATGCAGGCTCGCCCGCTGCACCCGACGCCGACAGTGAAGAACCTCGGCTGCCTGCTCTCCGCCACCCGTTCCTACTCCTCCGAGGTCGAGACTCGCCTCTTCTCCACGAAGAAGGCTCACGGCCGGCTGGCCCAGAGAGTCTTGAAAGGCAACCTCAGCACACGACTGAAGGTGCGATTGTGGTGTTCGCTGGTCCGATCTATCGCGCTGCATGCATTGGAGGTCGCCTTTCTGACACGCACCGACCTATACAAGTTGGAGCGACGGCAGACCCGCAAGCTTCGACACCTTCTGAGGTCCCCAGCCCATATGCACCGCGCATCGGATTCCGACATTCGCCGTCGGGCCAACATCTCCAGTGTCAGTTCTACGCTTCTGCATCGTAGGCCCCAACGGTGGCGGCAGATCATTGCGCCTGGATTTCAACCAGAACCCCCTGGATATGACACCACGATTGCAGTACGATCGGTAATGCTTGGGAAGCTTTCGTTTGAGGATCACAGGTGCCGCAACCATGCATGTCGCCTAGGGCAACTCCTTTTTGACCTTCGCGTGCTATGGACCCGCATCCCAGCAGAAGACGAGGAGCTAGCGCCCTCCGATTCGCCGAGTGTTTCTCGCGACAGGCTAGAATGGCTTACTACGCTCCCAGACGCAGAGCTCAAGGTCGTTCTCTCACATGAAGCTGAGAGTGATCAAGCACAGGAAGCTGGTGCTTTTGATGCCTCACGACTTTCAATGCGCCCAGAGTGTGGAAAAAAGCATGCAATGGCCAGAAGAAATTGGAAAACCACAGGTTTGCAGTCCACTCCATCGTTGCCAATCGCGCGAATATTCCCCCAGGGGACCTCAGCGCCCGCACGTGCCCACATTGCTCCTCGGTCTTTACCCCGAAGGACACCTCGATCAGACACGCCCAACTTAAACGACGTCCTCATCTCACCGATCCGCAGACAGTTCGGGCTGAGGTCCAGCCTCCAGGGGCCCCGACACCTTCTCCGGCAGCACCGACCCCCAGAGTGCAGGCGACCGACGTTCACGCCAGCAGCCGAGCTTCTCAAGAAGAGGGACGCGGGCGAGGCAGGGGTCGAGGACGCCGACAACACCAGCAGAGAGGCCGAGGCCGTAGGCATCTCGAGGAAAAAAACAAGCTGATGACGAAATTGCTGCTCCAACACGAAGACAACCTCCGCGGATCGGCGATGGCCAGAACATTGCGGCGAGGCCCGAGGTCGGCTCGCACATGCAAGCGGCGCTGGCAGCGAGCACCAAGCACGACCAGAAGACTGGGCAGGAGGCGCGCGACGCAGTCGCACCCGCGGCCATCCGCTAGGCAAGAAGCCAGACGCCTACCTCCGCATGTTGCTCTTCAGCATGAGCGAGGCGGCGAAGACCAAGTACGACGAGGTCAAGGCCGCGGTGGCACAGGGACCTCACCCGCAGGAGTCCGAGGCCGCGCTGACGATGTTGATGAACTTCGGGGAGAGGCTCAAGGACCCAGAGGTGCGCCTCAAGGCGACGAGATGCTTCGACGTGACGGTCACGACAGACAACGACGGAGAGGAAGTAGAGGAGGGCAAATGGACATTCGCAGCTACGGCGCATCCCAGCACGGTGCAGGCCATGTACACGCTCAAGGCCAATGGCGGCCTGAAGTCCGCGAGCACGATTCTAGATGACGACGACGCTCCACGGTCCCAGACGGCCAAGGAGCTCGAGAAATTGGTGTTCAAGGGCGACGGGAACAGCGCCAGCTTCAAGCAGAAGGATCAGAAGCGCGCGAAGAAGAAGTGATGCTATCTGCTGGCCGCCGCCGCTCCCAGCCCCCATCTTTAGACCTCAGAAGTTTTTTTCGGATCTCGAGGCTCGGGCTATGGAGGACTTTAGCTCAGATGCTTTTGATGAGGGCCCGCCTGGATGCTTGAGGGCATCCTTGCGGCCGCTCGCGTAGTGCCATCCCCTCAGAGGAGGGGGTGCTCGAGCGCGGGACCATAGGGTTCTGCATCCGTGCCCGCTCCCCTGGCCCGCGACCTGCTCGCTCAGTGCAGCGAAGGAGGCTGATTCGTTCTTCGGTTGTTTTTATGTGGGCCCACCGCAAGACATCCAGTCGACCGTTCGAGGGTGTAGCGTTGTAAAAAAAGGAAGCAAAAGTCGGCCTCCCAAGAGATGACAACAGTTGTGGGTTCAGGGTTTCCAGAATCGGGCATTCGTTTGCGTTTTACGCCCTCGGAGGGCCCTTACCACGCCCCTGGGCTGTCGAAAGTGCGGATCGGGAAGAGCCAGTCCCCCTGGGGAAGGGGCCCAGACCTCTTGGCGCACGCGGTGCGAAGTCACGACGTGGGGAGCTTGAGATTCGGGAGGGCGCTTGCCGAAATGTTGGCCGAGTTTCACCATGTTGCCAGTGCCGTGGTCGGCGCCTCGGGAAAACGCACCGATGGCTGCCATCCTGTAGTCGCCGTGGTCGTCCCAGCAGTCGTGGATGATGAACTGGATGTAAGCGCTGGCCGGAATGTCTGACCGTGCCTCTAAGACTTGGAATGCTGCTCGGTGGCAAGGCATGGGAGCCACGTGTACCATCGCAGTTATGTGTTTAGAGTGCACTGGCGTCGACTAGTGTCTGGTAATCGATGAGATAGCGCCAATTGTGCGTCGATCCGCGTCGATTTAGCGTCGACTCGCGTCGACTTGGCGTCGACTCGCAAGAGCCAACAAGATGTTAAGGGAGGCCCCCATGGGTTGCCGCAGAAGCTGCTGCGGCCGGCGCCTCTGGGGAACGCGCCGACGTCGGCCACCTCTGGGGCTCCAGAGGGGCCCGAAACCCTCCTACCCCGGGCTCTCGCCCTCGCGCCGCCGACGTCGATCCACGCTGCTCCCGCGCCCCAGCGGGCGCACAGCGAGCCAGGAGCCTCTCAACAGGGGATGCCCAGGGCGATGCTGCGGTAGGTTCGCGTCGTGTCGACTGGCGGCGACCCCGCCGTCGGCGCTCCACGCTGGGCGCCGCTGGTGACCCAGAAAATCGGTCGACGCTGAACGATCTGAGTCAGATCTGAGCCTGGGGTTGCATCGGCCGTTTCCGAAACGCTGGTGACATTTCGGAATCGACCGATCGTTCAAGGCTGAACGATCCCCGCGGCGTCAGGAACCAACGCCGGGGTCGACACGACGCGAGCGTGCCGTATCGACTAGACATTAGAGTGACCTTTCGCCGGAGTGGCCTTGCGGGCCCAATGGGTCGCCCCGATCGCTGAACGCGAGGCGGTAGCAGCGGCTTGCGCGCCCAGGTTTGGCCCCCCCCCCGCTTCCCCCGGTTAAGTCGCGCACCAAAGTCCACTTTTACTTTGGGTCGCTCTTACGCGTAGCCAACCGTAGCGACCCTTCCTGCGATGCCCAGCGATGATGTCGTTCGGGGCCTCTCCAGGGTGGGCATCTGGAGAGCACGCCCTTGGCGGCGGAAGACCCGAAACAGGTTTTGTTTAGAGCATTGAAGAGAACATTGCAAAGAGTAGCGTAGAGGGCTTAGGAATTAGGGTTTAGGGTTTTGGGATTCGGGTCAAACAGCACGACGATGTCAACAGACTGGACGTGTCATGCACTGGCGGCGGCCCGCGCCCAGTGTCTCGTTCCTGCTTCCCGCCGCTCCCAATCCACCGGCCGTTTCTCCTGCTCCTCCTCCTCCTCCTCCTCCTCCTCCTCCTCCTCCTCTTCCTCCTCCTCCTCCTCCTCCTCTCCTCCTCCTCCTCCTCCTCCTCCTCCTCCTCCTCCTGCTGCTCCTCCTCCTCCTCCTCCTCCTGTCTCTCTTCATCCCTCCTCCTCCTTCTCCTCATCCTCCTTCCTCTCCCTCCTCCTCCTCCTCGTCCTCTCCTCCTGGCTTGCTGGCTCCTCCTCCTTCTCCTCCTCCTCTTCCTCCTCCCTCTTCCTCCTGCTGATTGTCGCTTGCTCCTCCTCCTCCTCCTCCTTCCTTCCTTCTCCCCTACTACTCCTCCTCCTCCTTTCTCTTCCTCCTCCTCCATCCTCCTCCTCCTCCTCCTCCTCCTCCTCCTCCTCCTCCTCCTCATCATCATCATCATCATCATCCTTCTCCTCCTCGTCCTCGGCCTCATCCCCCTCCATCATTTTTCCTCAGAAGCAACGTCTCCCTGTCGCACCCCGAGGCCAGTTTTTAGGGCGGCCCGGGCGTTTCTTTTGAGGCTTCCTCAACATTCAGGACTCTGAGGCATAAGGATTGGCAACAGCTTTGCAGATGGAGGGCGGGTGGTTTCCAAAATGTGGCTCTCGCCTCAGCGCCGCGCACATTCGTTTCAAACATTCGCACGGGCTTCGCGGAGTAAAGGTAACCCGTTTTCAAAAAATAGTTCTCGCCTTAGCGCCGCGCACATTCGTTTTAGAAAATTGCAAGAGTATCACGGATTGAGGATAACCCATTTTCAAAATGTGGTTATCGCTTTAGCGCCGCGCACATCCGTTCTAAAAAGTGCAAGAGTTTCACAGATTCAGGGCGGCTCCTTCTCAAAATGTGGTTCTCGCCTTAGCGCCACGCATATTCGTTCATAAAAGTTACAAGAGTTTCACGGGCCCCCACGATGAACGTACCAGAAATAGTGTTTTAGAAGGATTCATGATTTTAGTGGTGCACCAGTTACGTTTGTTCGCGGTGTTGAAATCCGCCGAATGGCGTTCTGGCACGATCCAGGAACGTCAAGACGCAACAGTCAGGTTGATCCGTCGCATTGGAATCCCGAGAACAACGTTTTGACATGCTTGCGGGTCTTCAAACGGTTGTCGTCCAACGAGGCAGATCCCTCAATGGAAATGAACCGCTGTTGGGGTTTATGAAGAGGGAGCTTAGAGGGAGGGTGTATTCAAACATCGTTGATGGCTCTTGAGTTTACACTGGTCCTCCTCCTCCTCCTCCTCCTTCACCTCCCTCCTCCTCCATCTCCTCCTCCTCCATCTCCTCCTCCTCCTCCTCCTCAAACCCTTTTTCCCTCCTCCTCCTCCTCCTCCTCCGCTCCTCCTCCTCCCTCCTCCTCCTCCTCCTCCTCCTTCTCATCTCGGTCCTCCTGGTGTTGGCTCGCATCCTCCTCCTCCTCGGTCCGGGAAGGGGGGAAGCAGCGAGAAGCGTCTCATGCAAGCACGCTGCGGCAGCAGGTCCCTCGGCAGGGACAGCCGCGGCGTCCACCGGTTGCAGAAGCCCCCCCGCCCCCAAATAAAAACAAAAAAAAAAAAAAAAAAAACAGAACCGCCACACCGCCACGATCAAGCACTCTTGTTCGGGTGCCTCCTCCTCCCCTCATGCTGTCCTTCCTCCGCGAGCTGAAGTTTCAAAGGCCAGCGGCCTGGCTCGAACGAGTCGAGTCGTCCGAGGTCAGGGTTCGAGGCCAAGGGCTGGCGACGTGGCTCGAAGAAGCTGAGTCGTCGGCGGTCTGAGTTCTGGGGGTATCGGCACGGGAGCAGCGCGGGCGTGCGCGCTCAGGGTTGGAATCCCCGTGACCGCGTTGGGGTTCCTTCCTGCACAGGGGCCTCCCTGGGAGCGAATGCAGCCACCGTGACTGGGTATTGGACAAGAGCTTGGCATCGCTCGGACGTGTGCATTTCTCCTCTGGCGAGGACCATCGAGGAGCATCCTTGATCATTTTGCGGAAAAAAAAAACACGGAAAAAAAACAAAAAACAAACTCGCACGGAACCAAAAAAAACACAGGGAATGGACGTCCGAGCGATGGCCAGAGAGACCTCTCTGGGAGGCGTACTGGGACTTCCTGGGAAGCGTTCGCAGGGCATCCAGGGGCGTTTCTTGGGCGGTTCTTGCTGGCGTTATCCAGGACCTCTGGGGGGTCCTCTCGGGGTCTCGTGGGGGCTTCTTGGGCCGTCTTAGGGCGCTCCTGGCCCGTCTGACACCTTCGGAAGTCGTCTCTGGGTCTATATGGGCCGTCTTGGAACCCTATTCTTGCGTATTCGCAATGCCTTAGAGGTCACTTGGACCGTCTTGAGGTCCCCCTGGGGCCGCCTTGGAGACCTTTGGGGCAGACTTGGGGTGGCGGCCCGTTGGGCCGTCTTGGGTGTTCGGGAGCCCGACCAGGCGCCAACGCTAAAAAGTTTCAAACAGCAAGCTGGGGTGTTCATGATTTTGCCATATCCGGGCCTTCCCCAACGCGCCTAGTAAGGACACGCGCCTTCGCCGAGGGTGCCCGGGTGTCCTTGCCTCCGCGGCCCGTCCTCTGCCGTGTTCACTGGTCGCCCGCCGCCCCCCCACCCCCCCCAAAGAAACAACAACAAACAACCTCGGCCTCCAAGGGCCTTGCGTCCCGGGAGGTGCGGGAGGTGCGCGCCGGGCCAGACAGCTAGGCAGTCGTCCTTGCCACCCGTCCTTCGTGCACGTTTTGACTGTGCGGTTTGGGCGCCGTGGCGCAGGCAGTCGAGCAGGGGAGGTGCGCGGCCGGGCCCGACAGCGCGGCGTGGGGGCCAGGCATCCGCCCAGTTGTGGATGAGCCAGGGCCGCGGGGGGAGGGGGGAGCGGGGGGCCGACTGGCGGCGAGTGGAGGCGCACGGCGTACACCTACTCCGGGTGGGATATCAATCGAGAGGTGGGCGGCAAAATTTCCGACGGAGCCTGCCCACCGCCCCCCTCTCCCCTCCTCCTCCTCCTCCCCCTCCCCTCCCCTCCTCCTCCTCCTCTCCTCCTCCCTCTCTTCCTCCCCTCCTCCTCTCTCCGCCTCCTGCCTCCTTCCTCCTCCTCCTCCTCCTCCTCCTCCACCCGTTCCGACAGCACGTGCCCAACCCCCCCAGCGGATCCAAGGGGGGAGCGATTACTGCCCCATCCAGAGTACGCAACATGGACACAAACAGTCGGGGGGTCGCGCGGGCTTGTTGGGGGTCGGCGCCGGGCTCCGCTGGCGGCACCACCCGCGCCTCCCCCGGCGCGCGGAGGGGGCGGGTGGGCCCAGCGCGACCCAAGAGAGGCACGCGGACCTCCCAGGGTTGATCCTGCTGCCGCCCTTCCCTTTCCAGGGTCCCTGGCCCTTGGGCGGTGGCTCTCTCGGGTTTGCCATCTCTCGGGTCAGGTGCAGCTCGGCTGGCGAAGCGCGGCTGCTCGCCAGCGGAGGCCTTGTGAAAAAGTCCTTCGCCTTCCAGGCACGACCCGTCCCAGGATTTGGCCAGAGTCGGCGCACACGGATAGCTGCCCGCCGACGGCCGAAAGAGGTCGGCTTGTGCTGTTGGAGTCTCGGGTGCCCAGTCGCCGAGAGAGAAAGGCGGCCACAGGCGGTTGCTCGGTCGGAGTTTGCCGTTCGCGTGTGGGGGGGGGAGGGCGATTGGGCGTTCGCTCAACGCCCAGGACAGAAGGGCTAGACAGGCTCCTCCTCCTCCTCCTCCTCCTCCTCCTCCTCCTCCTCCTCCTCCTCCTCCTCGTCCTCCTCCTCCTCCTCCTTCTAGCCCCGAGCTGCGGACAGTGTCGAGCGCTGCTCTCCTGCTCCTCCTCCCCTCCTCCACCTCCTCCTCCTCCTCCTCCTCCTCCTCCTCCTCCTCCTCCTCCTTCTCGTTCTCCTTCCATCCCTCCCTCCCTCCATCCATCCATCCATCCATCCCCCTCCAATCCCTCCTCATCCTCATCCTGCTGCTACTCGCACGGCCCGAGGACTCCTACGCCATCTCCCTGGAGGCCGTCCGCAAAGCCCTGGATTCCGACCAGGACCGAGGGCGATCCAGAACGCGACACCCCCAACCCCTTCGTATGAACTCAAGAGTTATATGCTGCGTTCCTTCCCTTGGCATTGGCTGGCGGTTGAATGCCAGACCACAGCATCGAACACCGAGGAGGCGGACGAGAGGGGAGGCGGCGGAGCTGGAGGAACGAGAGAAGAAGCAGCTTGATCAGGAAGGGCAGGAGAGGCGGGAGAAACAGGAAGGGCAGGAGGGAGAGGAGGAGGAGGAGGAGCAGCAACAGGAGGAGGAGAAGGAGGGGAGGAGGAGGAGAGGATAGAGGAGGAGGGGAGGGAGGAGGAGGAGGAGGGGAGAAAAGGAGGAGGAAAAGGAGGAGGAGGAGGAGGACTAGGAGAGGAGGAGGAGGAGGAGACGGGGAGGAGGATGAGGAGGAGGACGGAGTGAGGTATGAGGAGGAGTAGGAGGAGGAGGAGGGGAGGAGGAGAAGGAGGAGGAGAGGGAGTAAAGAGGAGGAGTGAGGAGGACGACGAGGAGGAGGAGGACGAGGAGAAGGAGGAAGAGGAGGAGGAGGCGGAGGAGGAGGAGGAGGAGGAGACACGAGGAGGGGTGAACCAAGGCCTGCTGCGGAGCGGGCCGCACCCCACTTGGCGCGAGAGAGCGTCGCGTCTTCACCCCGCTGCCCGTCCTCCCTGGCAGGGAGGTGGCTGCGTCGTACCTCTCGCCGCGCCGTCCCTCCCCGCCCCTCGCCCCCCAGGCCGTCGTCGGCGTCGTCATCGCGCCCTGCTACGGGGTGCCCGCGCGCGATTTCAACGAGGCGGCCGGCACCACCGCCCGCGCGCGAGCGCGCGCGGGGATGGCGACGGCGGCGACGACCGCGACCAAGACGGCCACGACGACGAGGGCGACGGACACGATGATCGAATGGCCCATCCCGCCGCCGTGCCTGGGTTGTAGGCCTCTCGGGGGCCTCTTGGGGACCGCGTGGAGGCCTCTTGGGGGCCGTTTTAGGGCTTCTCGGGGCGTCTTCGGGGCCTCTTGGGGGCTTCTTGGGGCCTCTTGGGGGCCTCTTGGTGCCTCCGTTTGGCTTGATGGGGCGGAAGACTCTGATTTTCGGTCCGTGCTTGGACCCTGGCTGTCTTTGGGCCCTCTTCGACCGTCTTGGGGCCCTCTTGGGCCGTGTTGTGGCCCTCCTGGGGGCGTCTTGGTGCAACCTTGGGGCGTCCCGGGGTCTTCTTAGACTGTCTTGGGGGCCCTTCGGGGCCCTGTGAGCCCGTCTTGGGGCCCTCTTGGGCCCGAAAAAAAAGCCAGAAGACGCGATAAGCCCCCGACACGACGCGCCAAGCCCCGATGACGGCAGCAATGCCAATGAGGGCGCTGATGTTGGTGACGACGGTGGTTGTGATGATGACGGCGAAGTTGGCGGCAACTGATGATGACGATAACGGCGACGATGCGATGGCGCTGATGAGGGTGATTGCGAATTGCGCGCGCAAAAATTCAAGAAATCAGGGGGCGGCGATGTTCTGGGAAACACTTGGTTGTTCGTGCATTGTTGAAGAGCTCGATCGAGAAACACTTCGAAAACCCCTGCTGCTGGAAGGATTTAGGCACGCGCGTGGGTCGGCGGGCGCATGTGGTCCGCATTGTATTATTTGATACGGGGTAGTGCACCAGGCGCATGCTAGATCAACGCGACTGCACCGCATGGTGAGATGAGAATGCGGGTTCTGGGCAACATTGTTTGAACCGTATGGCTTCGCTATGATTCATTGGCTGTCGCCGCACCGCCGACCCCATGGAGCGGCAGTACGAGTGAAAAATGGAGTTTGCGGAACGCGCGCGATTTCTGCGGAATCTTAGGATTTCAGTTTCTTGGGATTTCGTCGGGGGCGGTTGGCGGATCGCGGCTCTGCTCTTGGGCTTCTCTGGGCTCTCATGGCAGCACTTTTGAGGTCTCTCGGGGGCCGTGCTGAGGCCTCTAGGGGACTCTTTTGGTCCTCTCGGGGACCTCGTGTGAGCCTCTTGGGGGCCTCTTGGCGCCTCAGGTGTTTTGGGGGGCCGAGTGCTCGAAGTGTCCATTCGGGTTCCCCCTCTGGGCCTCCTCTTGGGGCCGTCCTGGAGCCCTCCTGTGTCGTTTTGGAAGCTTCTGGGGCCGTCTTGGGGCCCTCGTGGGCCGTCTTGGAGCCCTTCTGGGGGCATCTTGGACTATCTTGGGTCGATATTGAAGGCTTCTTGGGCCGTTGTGGCCGTTGTGGTTCGATCGTGAAAACCAAGAGGCGAATGTGCTAAAAGTAGATGTTTCTCTCAGGGAATGGGACGATTTGTGCTTCTGGAGGGCCTCTTGGGACGCCTCTTGGTGGCTTCTTGGGGCGTCTTGGGGGCCTCTGGGACCGTCTGGAGGCAATCTTGGGCGTCTTGGCCGTTTTCCGGTGATTCCAGTAAGTGCGCGCGGGCAGAAATTTTGGAATATTTCGATTTGAAGATGAATGGGTTTTGACGGTTTTCAACATGAAGCGTTTGCAGAACCATTGGGTTTGACAAGAGTTCAATGTAGGCACCCACGTGTGGACATGGTTTGCTTGTTTCAAAGGGCTCTGTATACATATAAAGGGGGACTGGGTCCAGGGGCCAGGGGCCGGAGCTTCGACCGCAAATGTGGGGGTTCCAGGCCCGGGCCCGCCTCTGGGAGGCCTCAAATCGCCCCGGGGAGCCCTCAGACAGCAATCCTGGCGGCCCCAGACGGTCTCGAGACACCCCCAAGACGCCGTCCAGGGGTCTCAGGCGACGCACGATGCGTTTTGAACTGCCCCGGAGGCCCCCAAGACGCCCCAAGAGGCCTGCAAGATGCCGCCCAAGAGCGCCCCGAGAGGGCAAAATCGTTGATTTTGATTGGTTCCTGAATACTTGTTGCGTTCTCGCTGTTTCGTGTTTCCGGCGCTAAAGCACCGCCCAAGAGGCCCCCAAAACCGCTCCAAGACGGCCCAAGAGGCCCCCAAGAGAGCTCCAAGACGGCCCGAGAGAGCCCCGAGACGGCCCCATAGCTGCCCAGGACGGCGCAAGAGGGTCACAAGAAGGCCCCAAAAGAGGCCCAAGAGAGGCAACGCGAACCGAAAAGTCAAGCTCTCCGCCCCAAGATGCCCCCAAGGGGCCCAAAGATGCCCCCAAGAGGCCCCAAGAGGCCCCGAAGAGGCCCCCAAGAGGCCCCCAAGAGGCCCCAAGAGGCTCCCAAGAAGCCCAAAAGAGGCCCCAAGACGGCACCCAAAAGGCTTCAAAACTCTTTCTAAGACGCCCTCGAAGACATACCAAGAAGGTCCCATGACGACTTCAAGAAGCAGTCCAGGATGCTCCAAGGAGGCCCCAAGAAGCTCGCTAGAACTTGAGCGCGCGCGAAGCGCGCGCGATGGTTCTAGTATTATCTGACAAGGAAGAAGGGGGGATCCTGTTTGGCTGAGATGGTACGATGTCGTTGTGAAGCCATGCCATCCCAGCCAGGGTCGCACGTAAGCTGCAGCACGCGAAGGCCGGGCGCGGGAGGGTGGCAGAGTCGATCCTGCTGCCGACAGGAGACGCGAATGGGAGCCATGATTGCTGTAGTTGGGCCTTGGCCATGTGCAAGACGACGCTGCCTGGGCAGATATGACGGAGGGCTTCTTGGATTTCTGCGGGTGAGCACGCCCGCCGCTTCCTGCTTGCACTGTAACTTGTTTTTCCCCCGCGCCCTATATGGGCCCGCCCTCGTGCGAGCGGGGTGACTCGACTTGACTTGGGCCTTGGCCAGCCTGATTAATCTGCTCGGCGGCATTCCTGAAATGGACGGCCTCTCTGGCCAGGGCGCCTCGGAGCAAAAATACAGGAAGTATCGAGCGGGAGCCCTCGTCGTCGTAGCTGGGCCTTCGCCAACATATTTGGTTTGCGAGGATGTCCTGGGCGAGAGCGCCGTTGCTGAGGCTTGAGCTTCTTTGGTCAGGGTGTCTTGGAGTATATTAACAGGAAAGGTCGAGCGAGAGCCGTTGTCATCGAAGTTGGGCCCTCGCCAACTTGATTGAATCGCCATGAAGTCTCGGCAGAGATTGCCATTCCTTAGTTTTGGCCCTCGGGTTATATTATGAGGAAGTATCGAGTCGGAGCCGTTGTCATCGCAGCTGGGCCTTCAAAGGCCAGGATTGGGAAGCAAAATCGCGCTCGCGCGGAAGCTTCGGTTTCATAGGAAATGCAGCCGGCGTCGGGACGAGAGCGCCGAGGATCGCCTCCACAACAATAACAATTTCTCTAGAAGTAATGATTCCACGACTACGACCACGGCAGCAACGGCCCGCCGCAGCGACGACGACGACGACGACCCCCGGGCCTGCTCCTGGGCGCCCTCGCTAACCCGAAGTCCGAGGTGGCGTGGCCACGAAGGCGCCCCCCCAGATCCCCCAGAAGCCCCAGACACGCGCACAAAAACTTCTACATTGGAATCGTCGTCTTATGCATTGTTTTCCCGATCGGCGCGGGCCCTCACACCCCTCCCCCTGCCCCCCCCATGGAGTAGATCTTGGCTGTTTTTGGCGCCTGCTTCACGCAGGTGGAGCCTCCCCCATAGGACGCACTGTCGCAAACAGTCACACGAAAAGGAGGTCCGGAGCCAGACCCCCCCCCCTCCCCTCCCCCCCCTTCCGCCCAATGTCCACACGCTGGACAAGAAAACGTCCACATACGAGTAGACGATCACGGCCACGTCCATGACGGCAACCACAACCAGACTCGCGACGACGACGACGACGACGGCAGCGGCGGCGAGATTTCGGCGAGGTGCTGGCGTTGTGCAGGGAGCGCGGCCTGTGGCTGTGCGAGGACGCTTGCGAGTCCTACGGGGCCGCGAAGGCGATGCCGCCCAGCCAGGACGGGCCCGCCAAGGTCGCGCGCGTCTCCGCCTCCGCCGCCAAGAAGGCTCGAGGATCCAGTATCGATGATCGAGGTTCGAGGATCGAGGTTCGAGGATCGAGGACGAGGACGGGAGGAGGACCACGAGAAGGGAGACCTCAGAGGTGCAAGCCCCGAGAGGTGGCCCCGCTGCACAAGAAAACGAGCCAGGATCGGCCAGAAGCATGGAGGACCGAGGATCGAGGCTCGAAGATTCAGGAACCTCGAGGACCGAGGCTCATTGAGCCCTCCTCCTCCTCCTCCTCCTCCTCCTCCTCCTCCTCTTCCTCTTTATCTTCGATCCTCCTCCTCCTCCTCCTCCGCTTCCTCCTCCTGCTGCTGCTCCTCCTGCTCCTGCTCCTGCTCCTGCTCCTGCTCCTCCTTTTCCTCCTCCTCCTCCTCCTCCTCCTCCTCCTCCTCCTCCTCCTCCTCCTCCTCCTCCCCCTCCTCGCTCCTCCTCCTGGAGACAAGGCTGCGTCGGCTCGGCATCCTGCGCGGGAGGGTGCGGGCGAGCGGGCGATGGTCGTCGTCGCCGTGGGAGAGGGAAAAGACCTCAGACCGTTTATATCCAGACGTTCATTGCGAGCGCATATCCTGACATATTCCACGAACTATCCCTCACACTGCTTCGAACGTGGCTTCCAGGAGAAGAGTTGCCTGCTTTAGCATCGGTACGTGCTCGCTGGCCTGTGTTTGGAATGATGCTAGCCAAGTCAGCCTCTGCTAAGGTCTGGGCCCACTTGAAAGCCTTGGCTGAGAGGGATGGATCACCAGCCATTGGATTTAGATCCTTTTCTCCACTACCGTGCAGATGTGGATATCCTGATTGCCCTGACTCCTTGTTTCATCACAAATCCTGCACTCGCCTGCTTCATCATATAGGCCTGCCCCGTCGTTGTATCCCGACCGTTCCCCCTTTCCTATGGCTTGGCCTGGGGACCGAGGAAGAGCATCAAGATACTGACTTGTCTGCGAATGCAGCCTGTGAGCTCGTCGTTCTTGCGTACTCGATCTTCCATAAGTTCTGCGTCGAGTTGAATTAGACCACACATCAGCTCGGCAGTTAGACCTTCCAACTGTCTGCGGCGCTCACGAGGCAGTAATTCATGGTTCGCCAAGGGACGCGCGCCCTCCGCCTCCTGCTCTTCCTCGCTCCTCCTCGCTCCTCCTCGCTGCTCCTCGTTCCTCCTCGTTCCTCCCCCTCCTCATCCTCCTCCTCATCTTCATCCTCCTCCTCGCTCCTCCTCCCCGTCGCTCCTCCTCGCTCCTCCTCCTCCACTCCCCACTACCTCCTCCTCCCCCTCCTCCCTGCCCACCTCCCCCCTCCTCCTTCTCCTCCTCCTCCTCCTCCTCCTCCTCCTCCTCCTCCTCCTCCTCCTCCTCCTCCTCCTCCTTCCTGGGCTGCCGCTTGCCCTCCGCCCTCGACCGCGCTGGGCTCCGCTGCAGGCTCGGGCGGCGGCTCCTGCCCCGCCGGGCGCGCGGGCGGCCCGGCGGCCCCCCCGGAGAGTTCGGCAGCAAGCCACGGGGAGCCACGGCGCGCGGGCGGCCCGGCGGCGCGCACGGGGCCAGCGCGACCGGACAGCCGCGAGCGCGCAGAGTTCGGCGAGCCACGCGCGGTCAGAAGTGCCAGGCGCGCGGTCCGCGCGGCCTTCCAGGGTGCGTGCGGCGGCTGCGGCAGGGCCGCCCGCCAGAGACACCCGTGCCACGTGGACGACGACGACGACGACGACGACGACGACGACAACGACGACAGCGACGGCGACGGCGACGGCGAGCGACGGCGACGGCGACGGCGACGGCGACGGCGACGGCGACGGCAGCGACGGCGACGGCGACGGCGGCGGCGACGGCAACGGCGAGAGCGACGGCGACGGCGGCGGCGACGGCAACGGCGACGGCGACGGGCGACGGGCGGCGGCAACGGCGACGGGCGACGGGCGACGACGGCGACGACCTCGACTGGGACGAGCGGGCCACGTGGTGTCCGAAAAAAAAAAAAAAAAAAAAAAAAAAAAATGCTAACGGAGTTCCCCACATAAAGATATTAACGGTCTCGTGGGACCCATTTTCTTGATGCCCTCCTCGCTTTGGCGGGGCCCCGCTGGAAGGGGGGAGGGCTACGAAACCTGGCGAAGAGTAATGCTTTCCGCGACCCTCCTCGTTCAAGCGCGGCCTCTCTGGAGGAGTGGAGGAGGGGCACGAAACCATGTAAATAGTATGGTTTTCCGATACCCTCCTCGCTCAGGCGGGGCCTCCCTGCAGGGGTGGGAGGGGCACGAAACCATGTAAGTAGTATGGTTTTCCGATACCCTCCTCGCTCAGTCGGGGCCCCCCTGGAGAGGTGGGAGGGGCACGAAACCATGTAAATAGTATGGTTTTCGGATACCGTCCTCGCTCAGGCGGGGCCTCCCTGCAGGGGTGGGAGGGGCACGAAACCATGTAAATAGTATGGTATTCCGATACCCTCCTTGCTCAGGCGGGGCCTCCCTGGAAAGGTGGGAGGGGCACGAAACCATGTAAATAGTATGGTTTTCGGATACCCTCCTCGCTCAGGCGGGGCCTCCCTGGAGGTGTGGGAGGGGCGCGAAACCATGTAAAGTGTATGGCTCTGCCTCCCTGAAGAGGTGGGATGGGGCACGAAACCATGTAAATAGTATGGTTTTCGGATACCCTCCTCGCTCAGGCGGGGCCTCCCTGCAGGGGTGGGAGGGGCACGAAACCATGTAAATAGTATGGTTTTCCGATACCCTCCTCGCTCAGGCGGGGCCTCCCTGCAGGGGTGGGAGGGGCACGAAACCATGTAAGTAGTATGGTTTTCGGATACCCTCCTCGCTCAGGCGGGGCCTCCCTGGAGGTGTGGGAGGGGCACGAAACCATGTAAAGTGTATGGCTTTGCCTCCCTGAAGAGGTGGGATGGGGCACGAAACCATGTAAATAGTATGGTTTTCGGATACCCTCCTCGCTCAGGCGGGGCCTCCCTGGAGGGGTGGGAGGGGCACGAAACCATGTAAATAGTATGGTTTTCCGATACCCTCCTCGCTCAGGCGGGGCCTCCCTGGAGGGGTGGGAGGGGCACGAAAACATGTAAATAGTATGGTTTTCGGATACCCTCCTCGCTCAGGCGGGGCCTCCCTGGAGAGGTGGGAGGGGCACGAACCCATGTAAATAGTATGGTTTGCGGATACCCTCCTCGCTCAGGCGGGGCCTCCCTGGAGGGGTGGGAGGGGCACGAAACCATGTAAATAGTATGGTATTCCGATACCCTCCTCGCTCAGGCGGGGCCTCCCTGGAGGGGTTGGAGGGGCACGAAACCATGTAAATAGTATGGTATTCCGATACCCTCCTCGCTCAGGCGGGGCCTCCCTGGAGGGGTGGGAGGGGCACGCAACCATGTAAATAGTATGGTATTCCGATACCCTCCTCGCTCAGGCGGGGCCTCCCTGGAGGGGTGGGAGGGGCACGAAACAATATAAATAGTATGGTGTGCGGATACCCTCCTCGCTCAGGCGGGGCCTCCCTGGAGGGGTGGGAGGGGCACGAAACCATGTAAATAGTATGGTTTGCGGATACCCTCCTCGCTCAGGCGGGGTACGGTATGGTACGTATGGTGTGTTATGGTATGGTATGGTATGGTATGGTATGTGTGGTAGGAACTATGGTTTGGTATGGTGTGTGTGGTAGGAATAATATTGTGCTGTATGGAAGATGGAGCGGGAGGTGGGTGGGAAGGAGAGGGTGTTCTGGGAAAACAAGAACCCACTCAGGATGTGGGGGGGGGGGGAAAAAAAAAAAAAAAAAAAAAAAAAAAAAAAAAAAAACGACGTCGTCGCGGCGCGCACCCGCCATGATAGACGCGGGGCCCTGCCCGCGGGTGCGCCCTGGGCCCGGCTCGGGTTCGGCGGCGAACATCGGGGGGGCCCTCGCTTCTTGTGCCGCGAGCCTCACGGTGGCAAGATGCGGAGGACGGCGACGACGACGACGACGGCGACGACACGGGCGCGAGCACCGATCGGCGGCGAGCTAGGGGGGGGGAAGTGAGAAGGAGGAGGCCCTTTCAGAAGGCGGCGGGGCCCCTTACGAGCCCATCGCGCCTTCTGCGAAGTGCTCTCTGTCCTCGGGGACGGCTTGGGACATTTCTGAGAGGGCCGGAGAACTTCCGAGCCTTCTGAGAAGGCCCGCCCCCTCCTCACTTCCCCCCCAGGCTGCCCGCAGAGCAAAGCATGGGAGCCTCGTTTTCTCCTCATCGCTCGTCGACGACCCAACCCGCTGCTTCCCACGCAGCCTCGCGACCTCATCCTTTTTATGAACGGCTCTTATCCTTCCTTTGCCTCCCCTCTCCCCGCGCCCCTTCGTGCCCAACTTGCTCCCGGCGAACCCCGCCCGTTGCCCGACCGGCGCCTGCACCTGCTCCGGCTCGCCTGCGCCCGCTGACTTGTATAAAAAGGGTGTGCTCTTCATCCCCGTCCGGTATTTTCTTCGCACGTGGTCCCTCCCCCATCCAGTGTTCTCCTCACACTCCTGAATGTTACATAAAACCTGTTTTTTCCAGTATTACATGCTGTATTGGATTTACACACATGTCCGGTTCGAGGCAACTGGAAAATAATAGGAGCCTGTCGTGTCCTCGAAATCCCGCTTTGGGAGTGCACGAGTTTGCGCTAGCATCTGGTAATCGAAGAGACAGCGCCGATGCAGCCTCAATACTAGCGCCGATGCGGCATCGACTGGGCGTCGACTAGCGCCGACTAGTGTCAATTCAGCGCCGGCCAGCGTCGATGCGCAAGAACCAGCAAGGTGGCATGGGAGGCCCCCGTGAGTTGCCACCGAAGCCGCCGCGGGCGGCCCAACGGCCCCGCAGAGAGGTTCCCGTTGGTGTCCTCCTCCTCCTCTCTCCTCCTCCTCTCTCTCTCCTCCTCCTCCGCCCCTCCTCCTCTCGCTCCTCCGCTCCTCCTCCTCCTCCTCCTCTCCTCCCCTCCTCTCCTCCTCCTCTCTCGCCTCCTCTCCTCTCCTCCTCCTCCTCCTCCTCCTCCTCCTTCTCCTCCTCCTCTCCTCCTCACCTCCCCTCCTCCTCTCCTCCTCCTCCTATCTCTCCTCTCCTCCTCCTCCTCCTCCTCCTCCTCCCTCCTCCTCCTCCTCCTTCCTCCTCCTCTCCTATCCTCCTTCCTCCTCCTTCCTCCTCTCCTCCTCCTCCTCCTCACCTATCCTCCTCATTACACCACTCCGCTCCTCACCTCTCCTCATCCTCCCTCCTCCTCCTCCTCCGCTCTCCTCCTCGCCTCCTCCTATCCCTCCTCTTCCTGCCTCCTCCTCCGCTCTCCTCCTCCTCCTCCTCCTCCTCCTCCTCCTCCTCCTCCTCCTCCTCCTCCTCCTCCTCCTCCTCCTCCTACCCACCTCCAGCCCTCTCGTCTGGACGGGCAGCAACGCCTAAGACGTGACGCCGCGGCCGAGAAGGCCCCCCAAGACCGCTTGTCTGCGAGATACAAGAGACCCGATCGGTGCCGAGAAAGAACGAGGATCGAGGCTCGAGGCTCGAGCATCGAGGGCCGAGGCTCGAGGATCGAGGGTCAAGGACGACGAGGACGTGGACGGGAAGGAGGACCAGGAGAACGACGAGGAGGAGGAGAAGGAGGAGGAGGAGGAGGAGAACCAGGAAAACGACGAGGAGAAGGAGGAGGAGGAGGAGGGGCAGGAGGAGAACGAACGACGACGACGACGAGGAGGAGGAGGAGGAGGAAGAGGAGAACGACAAGGAGGATGAAGAGGAGGAGGAGGAGGAGGAAGGAGGAGGAGGAGGATGAGGAAGAGAGAGGGAGGAGGAGAAAGAGGAGGGAGGAGGAGGAGGAGGACGAGGAGGACGAGGAGGACGACGGGGACGAGGTGCCCGTCGGTGCCCTCGCGACCCTGTCGGTGGTGTCCATCCGCTCCGAGAAGATGGTCGGCGTGGGCGAGGCCACGGGGGGCGGGCGCGGGCCGTCGGTGCGCACGCAGCGGCGGGCCCGCGCCGCGCGCTGTCGCGCGGCGGCGGCCCGCACCGACGACACGCAGCAGGCAGGCACCGTCGGCGAGGGGAAGCACATGAGAAGTACAGTTCGGAGGAGGAGGAGGAGGAGGAGAGGAGGAGGAGGAGGTAGGAGGAGCACGAGGAGGAGCCGAGGAGGAGGCCCGAGGAGGAGGAGGAGGGGGAGGATGGGGAGGCGGCGAATGACGAGGTAGGAGGAGGAAGGAGGAGGAGGAGGAGGAGGAGGACGACGAGGCAGAGGAGGAGGAGGGAGGAGGAGGCAGGAGGAGGAGAGGAGGAGGAGAGGAGGAGGAGAGAGAAGGAGGAGGAGGAGGAAGTGAGGAGGAGGAGGAGGAGGAGGATGAGGAGGAGGAGGAGGAGGAGGAGGGAGGAGGAGGAGGAGGAGGAGGAGGAGGAGGAGGAGGAGGAGGAGGGCGGGTGGGTGAGAGGGGCGAGGGGGGGAGGAGGAGGAGGAGGGAGGAGAAGGAGGAGGAGGGGGGAGGAGGAGGGGAGGAGGAAGGAGGAGGAGGAGTGGAGGAGGAGGAGGAGGAGGAGGAGGAGGAGGAGGAGGAGGAGGAGGAGGAGGAGGTGGGGAGCAGGCAAGGAAGAGGAGGGGACGGAGGAGGGAGGAGGCAGGAGGGAGGAGGAGGAGGAGGAGAGAGCAGCAGGCGGAGGAGGAGGAGGAGGAGGAGGAGGAGGCGGAGGACGAGGGGAGGGTCAAGAGTTGCCCGAAGTTGCTCTGGAGGGGAACCCATTGGATGTGCTTCGTGTGTTGGGCTGTTCGCTCCAGGATGCTCCTCGTTTCGGGCATCTCCACGTGGGACCCTGGGCCTTCGGCAGAGGAGCTCTGCTCTTGACCCGCGTTCCCGTGGCCATGCTCCAACTGTGCAGCCGGACCGAGGTATATAAGATCGAGGTCGTTTCGGGGAGGGTGCATTAGTGCTCGTCGTGCTTGTTGGATGTTATTGTGCACCCTGGAGAGGGTACCCTTGCATGTGCTGCGTGCTTTCGGCGGCTGAGGCTCTCGTGTTCCTAAAAGATGCTCCTCTGGCCTAGGTCCGACGTACGTCGCAGGAACTTTCAGAGGCGAGCGAGGGGGGGGAGAAGTGAGAAGGAGGAGGCCTTCTCAGACGGCGGCGGCCAGAGCGCGGGCAGTCGCCAGAGGGGCCGAAAGGCACGAGAAGTACGTAGCGCGTGCGCACGGCACGGTCGCAGGAACTCTCGGCGGCGAGCGATCGGGGTGGGGGGGGGGGGGGGAAATGATAAGGAGAAGGCCTTCTCAGAAAACGGCGGGACTTCTGGGAAGACTTCTGCGTCGTCGGGGAAGGCCCAGGCGGCCAGGGGACTTCCGAGCCTTCTGAAAAGGCCCGCCCCTTCTCACTTCCCCCCCTGGGCTCGCCGCCGACGAACTCGGGTTGCGTCCGCTCGAGAGGCGTGGGCGCGGCATGACATCCCAGGCGGAGGGGCCCGAGTGATTCTGAGGCGGGCGGACGGTTCCTGCTGGAAACATGTTTTTTTTTACACAGAGAGCCAACAGCAACCGAAACTGTGGGATAGCGTGTCGCTTGTTTGAGCCCACCACGCTTCGGCGCGACACGCTATCCACTTCCCGGTCCCCAAGCTTCAACGTCCCGAGCCTTTCCGAGCCTCCCGCCCCGCAGAGCGGAGCGCCGCGCTACCCGCGTGCATGGCATAGCGTGTCGTTGGGGCCGCCGCCGCGACGCGCTACGCAAAGGTTCCCTACCGCATGTAATCGTTTCGCTCACTCCGCCGGCCCGTATTGTGTCACTGGTACTGTATGTTGGTGTGCACGTGGCGAGCGAGGAGGAGGAGGAGGAGGAGGAGGAGGTAGAGGAAGAGGAGGAGGAGGAGGAGGAGGCGGAGGAGGGGGGCGAGGAGGAGGCGGAGGAGGAGGCGGAGAGGCGAGGAGGAGAAGGAGGGAGGATTTGAGGGAGGAGTGGAGGAGGGGGCGAGAGGATGTATGAGGCTAAGAGGAGTAATATGGAGGATGTTCGCGCAGGCGGGCGATGAGTAAGGTGGTGGGGGCTTTAGGCAGAGCAGTAAGTGCGATTGGGGGAAGGGGAAGTAGGCGGAGGATAGTGGGGTAGTGGGCGGGGCTGAAGAAGTTGAGATTGAGGAGGAGGAGGAGGAGGAGGAGGGGGAGGAGGGCGAGGAGGAGGAGGAGGAGGAGGAGGAGGGCTGTCTGCCCCTCCTCGGCCCCGCGCCGGGCGGCCCATTCGGGCTGCCGGGGCCAGCGCGCGGCCCAGAGAGAGCCGGCCAGCATGGGCCCCGAGAGGCCCCAGGGGCCGCCAGCCCTCGGGGCGGGCTTTTGTTTGGGGGATAAAACGACGCGAAGATCGGGACAAAATCGGATCGGGATAACTCGAAATCTCTCTGAGAATCGGCGGGTTTGGAGGATGTATTGGGCGCCGCGGCCGCTCCAGAGCGTTCCGGAACGCTCTGAGAGCGCTCCGGAACGCTCTGGAGCGATTTATCCCGATCCTAGCCCTGTTTTAAGGGAGCCAGGGTCAAGCAGTGGCGAAGCGTCCTGGCTCGTCGACGGGCCCACGAAAGGATGTTCTGAGAACCTTCCGTGGTCCGCACGACATGTTCTTCGAACCTTTCTGTCCGAGACGGCCTTGTTTTAGCACACTGGGCTTCTGTTCTAGGAACATTGTTTTGTGGATTCGAACATGTGTCTGTTATAGATTTCGCGGTAGGCCTATAGCAATGCCAGGGCGGTCGGTCCCTTATCAAAAGGGGGCGGGGCTTGGAGCCGCCTGGGAATCCGAGGTGACTCGGCCGCGCGCGGAGGGGGGCTCGCGGGGAGTCCGAGTCCGCCACGCGGGGCAGGTAACGCCTACCCCGCTGACCTCCGCCCGTCTTCCCTTTTTTCGGAGCTTCCCGGGAGGCCCTCGTCGCCACCGCTGGCTTCGCCTCGAGGTGTTGGTCAGAACGCACCCTGGGAGAGGTCCAGGGGTCGCGAGGTCGCCCAGGCTCGGCCACGCGCAGAAGGGGGCCTGGGGAGGGGGGGGGGAGGGCTTCTGAGCAGCAGCCCTGGCTCTTAGAAGGCGCGGGCCTTGTCTGCAGATGTGAGGCCGGGCCCTTCTGAGAAGCAGCCTCCATCTAAGAAGCCTTCCTCCCTCCCCTGTACCTCCCTGTGCGCGCCGCCAAGTGGCCCAGCACTGGTTCTGGCCAGCAAGACAGAGGGGAAGAGGCCCGAGGCTCTGGATTCGAGAAGGTTGCTTGTCTGTGTCTGGCTCTGGGGGCCGATTTCGGGCCTCGGGACCGTCTACAACGGATCCGGGGTGATACACTGCACCAGATGGACCCCAGGAGAGGTCCAGGGGCCGATTTTGAGGGGATCTGGCCTCATCCCCCACTCTCGACCGATGTTCTGGTGCCCCATCCAGTTCAGACCCCCCCCCAAGCCGCCTCCAAGACGGGGCGAGGTCGAACGAACAGGGCACACAGGGAAGTGCAGGCTCGAGGTTTGGGGCTTCGAGGTCCCAGATTTCTCAGGAGGGAAAAAAGACAGACACAATTAATCGTCGATTCCCAGAAAATATGGGAAAATATGGGAAGTGGGGGGGAAGACAGAAACCCAGAAAATATGGGGAAATATGGGGAATCGTTTATTTGTGTGTGTATTTATTTGTGTGTCCCAGGGCCCCATCAATTTCGCGTGTTCTGTTGGGTTCCCGGCAGCTTCCCAGCCGCAGGACGCTCTCCTGCAGCGGCGTCTCGCCGATGGGCCTTCTGCGCGTGTGCCCGGGTCGCCCCGAGCGGCCACCGGAGGCCCGAACTGTGATCCCGAAAGCCAGGCGACGAGGATGAGCCGGGTCGGACGAAACTGGGGGCACGGGGAGAAAGGGGACGACGACGACGACGACGACGACGACGACGACGACGACGACGACGACGACGGCGACGGCGACAACGACGACGACGACGACGACGACGACGACGACGACGACGACGACGACGACGACGATTGCGACGACGACGCACTGCGGATGCCCCATGGGCCATGGGGAGGGGGTTGCTGCGTGGGCCCGCTGTAGTCGGTCGACATCGACGACGACCACGACGACGACGACAACGACGACGACGATTGCGACGACGACGCACTGCGGATGCCCCATGGGCCATGGGGGGGGGTTGCTGCGTGGGCCCGCTGTAGTCGGTCGACATCGACGACGACGACGACGACGACGACGACGACGACGACGACGACGACGACGATTGCGACGACGACGCACTGCGGATGCCCCATGGGCCATGGGGGGGTGCTGCGAGGGCCCGCTGTAGTCGACATCGAAGACGACGACGACGACGACGACGACGACGACGACGACGACGACGACGACGACGACGACGACGACGACGACGTGGTTACGAAAAGTGCTGCGCGCAGTTGGTGTCGGTCCCGCCGCCGGGCGCCGTCAGGGGAGAGACCCTGGGAAAGCGAGCTGCGCGAGCTGGTTCGCTACCCTCCTCCTCCTCCTCCTCCTCATCCTCCTCCCTCCTCCTCCTCCTCCTCCTCCTCCTCCTCCTCCTCCTCCTCCTCCTCCTCCTCCTCCTCCTCCTCCTCCTCCTCGTCCTCCTCTTCCTCCTCCCCCCCATCGTCCAACCCACGTTGGGCGAGGAGGTACCCCATCCTTTGTCTATACAGTCGGGGCCCTGAAGAAGGAACCCTTTTCGTTGGGGAGGGGCTCCGTGTTCCTTAGTTGTTTCACTGCTTGCCCTGGATGTTCCGTAGGTTTTCGGTACGGAGTCGAAGTTCAACTTGTGGAAACATAGGGGCCTCGTTCCTCGTTTAGGGTAACTTAGGTCAACGCCCCGACTGTACCCTCCCCCCCATCGTCCAACCCACGTTGGGCGAGGAGGTGAGGAGGGGTCCCTCGGAGAGGGCAGGCAGATTTCCTAGAGTGGTGCGCGTGGCGTGGCGGGGGCCCTGAAGAAGGAACCCTTTTCGTTGGGGAGGGGCTCCGTGTTCCTTAATTGTTTCGCAGCTTGCCCTTGATTTCCCTTTGGTTTTCGATACGAAATCGAAGCTCAACTTATGGAAAATAGGGGCCTCGTTCCTTATTTAGGGTTCCTTAGGTCAACGCCCCGACTGTACCCTCCCCCCCATCGTCCAACCCATGTTGGGCGAGGAGGTGAGGAGGGGTCCCTCGGAGAGGGCAGGCAGATTTCCTAGAGTGGTGCGTGTGGCCTGGCGAGGCCCGGAAGGAGGGCGTGGCGTGGCGAGGCCCGAGAGGAATATGACCTTCACGCAAGTCGGGACTCGCTTGCACGCCTTTTCGGCCCGCTTGAAACGGCGGAGGGGGGGGGAGGGAATGCCTTGCAAGGAAATTCGCTTGGGTCTGAAGAAAAAACAGCCTCTACGTGGCTGGGGGGACCTCTTTGAAGCCCACCGCGGCGCCTGCAGACCTCGGGCGTCGCGATCGGTTCGGCCCCTGAGCCCCTCCCAAATCTCGGCCCGCCAGGAGGCCGTACTCGGGCCCGGGCGGCCGTCCAAAGACGGCTCGGGCCCGAAGAACATCAGGGGCGGCAACGAATGGGGTGATGGCACTGGCGGGGGATCTCATGGCCAAGGCCATGATGTCTCCCCCGATGTCATGGCCGCCCTCCTTGTTTCAAGACGCTCCCTGCCCCCCCCCCTCCCCTGGTCCACGCACATGCCTCGGGTCATGATTTGCGACCCCCCCCCCTTCGACACCCCCCTCTCGGACGCACCCCAGAGCAGAAGCAGCCCTGGGGAGGTGGTCAAGAGATCCTGGGCGCATGGGCTGAGCAAAAGCACGACGTCGGAGGTCCTGGTGCGCTGTCCTGACCAGGCTCAAGTCGGGCACGTCCCTCTACAGGAGGAATATTCAAAAATAGACACAAATAGTCTGGGGTTGTAGTATTGATTGGCCATATTGGGGTATTGTGTGAGTATTTCTAATTTTTCGTCAAAAATCCCCCTGTAGGAAGACAGGCCCGACTTAGGACCAGGCCGATCTGATGTCTCGAGAGGTCCCTGGAGGTCCCCGAGCTGAACCAAGAACGCCCCGAAAATCTCAGACCCCGATCCTCGATCCTCTAACGTTCGAGCCCCGAGCCCTCGATCCTGGCCGATCCTGGGCCGAGAGTCGGCCTTGCCAGGATGATTGGTGTTTGTGGACAGCCCGCGTCCTCCCACCGAGGGCGGGGCGATCCTCGGCAACGACCCCACCCTGGTGGCGCGCGCCAAGTGGTGGTGTTCCCGGGCGCCCTCCCGCGGTGACCTGGGGGGCGGCACCAGGAGGAGGAGGAGGAGGAGGAGGAGGAGGAGGAGGAGGAGGAGGAGGAGGAGGAGGGAGAGAGGCGTGGAGGGGAGGAAAAAGAGAAGGAGGAGGGGGAGGCGGAGGAGGAGAAGAAAGGGAAGGAGAGAGATGGAGGGCTGGCAATGGCGACGACGATGCTCTCGTCGTCCCAGGTGTGGGCCTGTGGCGCGTCTACGAGCACGACGCGGTCGGGCAGAATTTCCGGCTCCCCGAGATGCTGGCAGCCGTCGGTAGCGCGGCTGCCGAGATGTTGCCCACGATGATCGAGCGCAAGCGGAAGATACACGGCCTGTCGGGGGGGCGTCGTCGCCGTCATCGGAGCAGTCGCGGTCGGAGAAGGAGGAGTAGAAGGAGGTGGGGGAGGAGGGGTAGGAGGAGGAGGAGGAGGAGGAGGAGGACGAGGAGGAGGAGGAGCAGGAGGAGGAGGAGGAGCAGCTAGGAGGAGAAGGAGCGGAGGAGGAGGAGGAGGAGCAGCAGGAAGGAGGAGGAGAAGGATGAGGAGGAGGAGGAGGAGGAGGAGGAGGAGGAGGAGGAGGAGGAGAGGAGGAGGAGGAGGAGGATGAGCTAGGAGAGAGGAGAGGAAGAGGAGTGGAGAGGAGGGGAGAGAGAGGAGGGAGAGGAGAGGAGAGGAGATGGAGAGGAGAGGAGAGGAGGGGGAGGAGAGAGAGGAGGGGGAGGAGGAGAGAGAGAGGAGAGGAGAGGAGAGGAGAGGAGAGGAGAGGAGAGGAGAGGAGAGGAGAGGAGAGGAGAGGAGAGGAGAGAAGAAGAGGAGGAATGAGGAGGGAGAGAAGCTGACGGGCGCTCTGCAATGTCAGACAATCGCGCGGCAGTTTGCACACGATGTGGTAACTACGCATGCTGAGGAGTGCTGAATTTTGCTAAGCCCTGCCAGCAGCGCACACCCGCCTTGAAGAGGCAGCGAAGCCGGGCTGAGGAGGGGAAGTTTCCGGATTGGGCGCCGCAGCGCGTTGGCCGGAAAATCGGAGCTCTGACGGAGACCATTGGGCACGACTTGGCATGCTTGGTGGCCTGTAGGGTTCCGAGTCTCGTCTCCATGGAGGCCCAGCCTGACGACCGAGCATTTTCTCTCGGTGGAGGGCAGAGGGTGAAATCTGAAATGCCGTTTCGATTGATTTTCGAGGTTTGAATCTGCACAAGGTGAATCATAAGACGGATTGATTTTCGAGGTGCGAATGCCCATATGGATTTCACATTGAGCCCTCCACCCTAAGAAAATGCTCAGGACGAGCTCCTGGCTGGGGCTGGTGGGGGGATTTGGCGTGGCGCCCGTCGAAGCTCTCCTCGCAAGGCTTGGGCTGACCCGCGAGAGTGTAGGTGCACGGGCGACCCGCGCAGGGCGCCCCGCTGCCGCATCGCAGGGCGTGAGGGTTTGGCTGAGGGCGGAATGATGATGATGATGATGATGATGATGATGATGATGATGATGATGATGATGATGATGATAAGCATGACGATGATGATAAGCATGATGATAAGCATGATGACGGTGATGGTGATGGTGATGGTGATGGTGATGGTGATGGTGATGGTGATGGTGATGATGATGATGATGATGATGATGATGATGATGATGATGGTGATGATGGTGCCAGTGCTGGTGCTGGTGCAGGTGCTGGTGTTGGTGCTGGTGCTGGTGCTGGTGCTGGTGCCGATGATGATGCTGGTGCTGGTGCTGGTGTTGGTGCTGATGACGATGATGGTGCTGGTGCGGGTGTTGGTGCTGATGACGATGATGATGATGATGATGATGTTGATGATGGTGATGGTGATGGTGATGGTGATGGTGGTAGTGATGATGATGATTGTGATGGTGATGGTGATGATGATGATGGTGGTGGTGATGATAATGATGATGATCATGATCATGGTCATGATGATGGTGGTGGTAGTAGTGGTGATAGTAGTGGTGGTGTCGATGATGATGACGACGATGATGGTGATGATGATTATGATGATGATGATGATGGTGATGACAATGGTTGTGATGATCATGGTGATGTTGGTGATTGTGATGATAATAATATTGATGATGACGATGATGATGATGACTGTGGCGATTGCGATGGCGATGGTGATGGTGATGGTGATGCAGATGATGATGACGACGACGTCAGTGATGATGGTGATGATGATGAAATTGATGATGAAAAGATGATGGTGATGGCGATGGTGATGGTGATGGTGATGTTGATGACAACGATGGCGATGGGGATGGCAATGGGGATGGTGATGCTGCTGACGGTGACACTTGTGTTCATGATATTGTTGGTGGTATTGGTGATGCTTATTGTGTTGATGATGATGACGAGGCCGATGATGCCGATGCTGATACTGATGACGATTATGATGGTGACGACTGTGACGGTAATGGTGATGATCGTGATGGTGGTTGTGATGATGATGACGAGGAGTCCGATTCGGGAGATCGACCACGCTTAAGATTCCCAGTTGGATGTGAGGTGTGCTTGTTGTAAGGTGTTTCGGCAGCCGTCAGCGAATTTACCCCTGCAGCGAATCGAAGTGGAGGGAGGGGGGAGGAAAAGGACAAGGAGCAGGAGAGAAGAAGAGGGAGGAGGAGGAGGGGGAGGAGGAGGAGCAGCAGCAGCAGCAGCAGCAGCAGCAAGAGCAGGAGCGGGAGCAGGAGGGAGGAGGAGGGGGAGGAGGAGGAGGAGGAGGAGGAGGAGGGAGGAGGGAGGAGGGGAGGAGGAAGAGGAGGAGGGGAGGGAGGAGGAGGCAGGAGAAGGGAGGAGGAGGGAGGAGAACAGAGGGGGGAGGAGCGAACGGAAGGAGGCGGAATGAGGAGGAGGAGGAGGGCGGAGGAGGAGGAGGAGGAGGCGGAAGGCTCTCCTCTCGAACAGAGAACCCAAGCCCCGCGGGACTGCTGCGGGAGCGCCCGGCGGAAGCCGAGGCAGGCACCCGCGAGAGGCTCGCGCTGGCGCCCCCACGGGTGCTGCAGCACCCCCGCGCTGGGGGGGGGGGGGGGGGGACACGGCTGGGGGCGGCGGCGGCGCCGACGGCGACGCCAACACCGACGCCCGCGACGACGCCAGCGACGACGCTGGCGACGGCGACGACGAGGGCCGGCGAGCGCGCGGGGCTGCGCGCACGCGCGAGCCTCGCCGCGGCGGCACCGCCGCTGCTCTGCGAGGCCTGGGGGTCCCCGCGTGCCCGCCCCCGAGGTGGAGGAGCAGCGCCGCAGACGGGGGGGTGGGAAACGGGTGCCGGGCAGGCTGGTACGAGAAGTTCTTCGCCAGGAGCCCTGTGCTGCAGGCGATCAAGCTGCAGAAGGAGTCGCCCGGGGACGAGTCGGTGTGGTGGATCACCGCGGCGCTTCTGCCGGACGGGATGAATGGCGAGAAGGCGGGCCGTCTGGGCTGCTGGCTTGACTTGGTTTCGGCGGAACGGGGCTAGGACGAGGATAAATCCGTGTCAGAGCGTTCCAGAACGCTTTCAGCGCGTTCCAGAGCGCTCTGAGATGGCCGCGGCGCCCGAGACATCTTCCAGAGCCGCCAGATTCGAGAGATCCCCGATTTATCCACCCCCCAGTTAATCCTCGTCCTGGCTTCGCCTTGTTGTCTTGGTTTCGGAGCCAGGGTGGCTCGGACAAGTACGGATGGCTGCCTCCCCAGACGGGCGTTTCCTCGCAGCCTCGGCCTCTGGGGGCAAGTTCCCAGCCCCTAGGATCTTCGACAACAAATAAAAATCACGACGACCCTAATGCCACGGGAATAGGATCAAGAGCTCCCGGGCCTGCGTCGTGATACACAATGACGTCGGATAAGTCTCTGAAGATCGGTGCCGCAAACGCCTCGAGTCGCGAAACCTTTTTGGAGAACCAGTCCGCACGCAGACACACATGCTGCGATCATCACCTTCCGATGCCGTTCCTGCTTGGTCTTCTATAGGTGGGGATGCAGCTGATGAAGGAGTGCCCAGACATCGAGATTCGGCCAGGATGCGGCGGACCCAAAATATACACCAATGGTGATCCTGGCCAGGACAGTCCTGGGCTGAGGGCCTGGAGCGGTGCAGGTGTACAGTTGCAGTCCTCCTGAGGATTCTTCCCCCTTGGCCAGATGGGCATCTTCAAGTCGGACTGGAACCAGCCGTGCCCGAACGCCGAGGTTCGGCCGCGGGCAAGAGGGGGGCAGGCCTTTTTGCTTGTCTCAGCGGTGCTCTGGGGGGCGCTGCGCCCACAGCGTCAGAGGGTCAGGGCTCCTCCTTCTCCGCATCCTCCTCCTGCTCCTCCTCCCCTTTCCCCCTCTTCTTACTCCCACCACTACTACTACTACTACTACTACTACTACTACTACTACTACTACTACTACTAATAATACTACTACTACT